TAGGTAAATTTTTTTTAAGCGTATACCGAAATTATATTAATTATATTATAGGTATACTCCGTAAATATGCTTTAAATCGGGTCCGTTTTAATAATTAGTAATAGATTCGATATATTATTTAAATTAATAATCGGCCCGGTAAATTTTTAATAATTTATAAATTTAAATAGCAAATATAGCAAATTATAAAAACCCGGTTTTTGCAAATAAACGTTTTTTTTAAAATAATTTATAATTAAACCTAGGTATTTTCGATTATAAGCTAAAAAAAAAATATTTAACGTAAATTTTGCATATTTTTAAAAAAGATTTATAATATTTTAATTTAAAAATTAGGATTTTTAACGTATATTTATATATTTTTTAAAAATTAAAGCAAAAAAATATTTTTTCGACTTTTTTAAAAAACGTTTTAAATTATTAAAAAATATTGCGATTCTTTTATTCGATAATAATATATATATTATTTTAAAATAGCGTTTATTATTATAAATATAAATTTAGCATAAGCTCGAAATATATTTAAATTATATATATATTTTAATATATATATTAATAATATAGCTTTAGGTAAATATTTATATATTTTTTATCCCGGATATTCGTAGGAAATATATTTTAAGTATATTTTTATTTTTTGCAAATTTTATATTAAGCGTAATTTTTAAAAAAAATACCGTAATTACGAAGCTAAACTATTTTTCGAAAACCTTTAAAAATATTCGGATATAAAAAATTTTATATCGATTATTAATAATATATGCCGGATTTATTTTCGATTTAAAACTTAATTTATATAAAAAAAAAATATTTTAAATTATAATTAGCTTATGCAAAAAAATCTTAAAGGTTCCTAAAATATGCTAAAAGTATACCCGGAAAAATATTAATTTTAAGGAAATTAGCTATATAAAAAATAATTATTTTATAAGCCGAAAGCTTATATTAATCGGAGCTATATAAAAATAAGCTTTTTTAATTTATATATATTTATTATATGCTAATTTTATTTTAAATTAAAGTTTTATAGCTAAAATAAATTGCTAAAGCAAATAAATAAACGGTAATTTAATATTCGATAAAGCGTTTAAATTTAATTAAATTAAATTCGGATTAATAACGGTATTTAGCGTTAGCAGCGTATATTATAAAAATAGGCTGTTCGACGATAAAAAAATAATAAATGGGTTTTTAATTTATATAATCTTTACGACGTTAAACGGGTAGATTTAAACGGGATATTAGCGCCGAATAATCGAAAAATAAATCCTATATTTTTTTAAAATAATTTATAAAATATATAAATATTTTTTCGGTATAATCCAAATATACGCTTTTTTTTTTTAATTACGCTAATACCTAATTATCGACGCTTTAAAAATAATAAAAACGATTTTTTTCGTAAAAAAAATTCGAAAGTTAAAAAAATAACGAAACCGATTTAAATTAAAATTGCGTAAACGGAAATTATAAAATAAAATTAAAAATATAAAAAATATATATTAAAAATATTTTAAATAAATATTATTTATTATTTTTAATAATATAATTTTTTATACGAAATAAAAATTATAAATTTAATTATAATAAAGGTATATATTAAAATTATATTAAATTTATCCTAATTTTTATTATTAATTCGCGGATATCCGCTAAATATATGCTTTATTTATACGGTTTTAATTATATTATTTTTAATTTAAACCTATTCCGTAATAAATAAATAATATTAAATATATATTCGAATTACGCTTAATAATAATATATTTAAACTTTAGCAAAAATAGTAGTAAAGCGGGTAACGCCTAAAAATATAATAAAAATATATTTAGAATAATTTGGAAATTTCGAATTTACGTTTAAACGAAAAAATAACGGGCTTTTTTTTTGCCGGTATTAAAGGTTTTAAGCTTAGCTAATTATATTATTAGTTTACGTTTAAAATATACTAAAACTATGCAAATTTACGGGTACGTTTTTTAATAAGAATTTCGTTATTATCGTAATTTAAAGGCGAACGCTAAAAATTTATTTAATATATACTTATAATATATAAATAAATATATTTATAAAACGCTTTTAGTTAGCCGGAATATAAAATTAAATTTAAAAATATTATAAATATATATTAATTATAGTAAAAATTTTATAAATTAAAAAGGAAATTATAAATTAATATTAATTTTTATAAACGCTATAACGGAAATATTATAAATCGAAATAAAGCCGAAGGTATATTCGGAGTATTCCGAGCTATGAAAAAAGAGTTTAATAATTTCGGAAATTCGGGAAAAAAGGAAAAAAAATCGAAATCGGATTCGGAATTTAAAAATTTAAAAAAAAGGCTAAATTCGGAGGTAATTTTCGAATTTTAAATAAAAAAATTAGGAATAAAATTAAAAGTTTAAAATTTAGAAAAATAAAAAACTTTAAAAAATAGATTTATTTAAAGGAATAAATTAAAAATAAATTTAATATTTTTAAAGATTATATTAGATTTTTTCCTTTTTTTATTTTTTAGTATTTTGGAAAATATTAATAAAAATTATTTATATTAAATTATAATTTAAAAATATATTAAATTTATTTTGCGGTAAAAACGAAAATTTTATTATTAGCGGAAAATAAAATTATTAGCATTAAAATTATTAATTTAGCATATATTTAATAAAAATTAAAAATATTTATATAATTTATTTAAATATAATAATATATATATTTATTTTATTACCGGTAAGATTATAATTAAAAATATTATAAATATATGCTTAAAATATCCCGAAAAAGGAAATTTACCCGGGTTTATTAATAAAAATAATATTACGCTAAAATTTATATAAAATAATATATTTTAAAGCGTTATAAAAAATTAGTTTAGTATATATTAATAATTTTTTAAAAACCTATTTATCGCCGGTAATACGCTTAGCTAAAATAATATTCTATTTTAAAATATTATCGATTATTATCCTTAATATATATTATAACGAAATCGAATTTCGTATAAATTTACTTATACTAAAATAAATAAAATAAATATAACGACACAGCTTTTTTAAATAAATTAATATAAACCGTAATAATTTTTAATATATTTTTAATATATAACGGGCTAAATGCTAAAAATAATACCGCATATAATACCGGAATTATTTATATTAATATAATAATTATTATTTTTTAGCATATATTTAAAATATATTAAAATCGGATTATTTATATTTTAGCGTTTATAATAAATAAAATTTCGGGGTCGTTAAAGCGGGAAAAATCTGTATTTTTAATATATATTAAATCGAAAATAAAAATATAAAAAATATACCAACGTTTTTAGCGGAAATAATAATAAAAAAACGCTAATTATTAATAATAACCTAAGCTTATTTTATATAATATATTAGGGATTTATATTTAATATATAATTTAAATATATTTATTAAAAAATTGCTAATCGGGATTATTATTCGAAATAAATCCTAAAAATTTTTAAGCTAATTTAATATATATTTAATAAATATTTAGCAAATTTTAAAATTATATTAAAATACTAACCGTAATTAATCGAAAAACTAATAATACGAATAATTGCGTTATTTAAATTTTTTTAATATATATTTAAAATATTTAAAAAAAAAATAAAATTTACCGAAAAAGGTAGGCTATAAATAAGTTATTTTATTATATTATTTAATTATTCGGATATTTTTAGCGTATATTTAATATTTTATATTAAATTTAATTATTTAAAACGCGCCTGCTTTTTTATAAAAAATTATTTTTATAACGCAAATTAGCAGGTACGTAATAGCTAATTAAATAGCAGCTTTTTACGTAAAAAATCAGTAATATCGCGAGGAATACCGCAAAATTTACCTACGTATATGCGTAAACGCGATTAAAAATAAATAAAACGTAAATAAAAAATATATTTATAAAACGAATAAACCTACGCTTTACTAAAGGCTTAATATATACGCGCATAGCTAAAAAATAAAAAAAATATTTATATTACTATACGTAATTATTAATTTTAAAAGAAAAAAATAGCAATAGCCGTAAAAGCAATTTAAAATAAAATTATAACCGCGCTAGCCAAATTACTAGCTAAGCTGCCGCTAGCTGGTTTTAGCTAACGTTTAGCTTATTTCTGCCTAAAGCTCCAGCTATAGCCTTATTTTTTATAAAAATTTTTACAATTTTACGATATATTTTAAATATATGCCTATAAATTAAAATATCGTAATATTATTTACCATTTTAAAATTATATATATTAATATATATAAGCGCTATATAAATTTTATATATGCATTTATACAATATTATAGCGCAATTAATTTTGACCCTTTAGTAAAAATTTTATTCTGACCCCTCCACACTAAATTTGACCCCTGCCCACGAAAAACCTCCCCCTCGGCGCCGCACGCTTACACAGTAGTGGCTTTAGCTGCTTCGTACGTATACCAATCCCTGCCATGTCATGTCGCACAACTAGACATACAACCGACGTGTATCAACGGCGCAGTAGACCATACTAGCCAATGATGGCAGTCAATCAACTCTGACTGTACTGGCAGTCCTGCAGGAACATCCCAGCTGCGTCTGACGCCTCGACATGATTGGTCGTGTCTCCCGCCGAGAGATGCATCAAGTTACTACCTATGTACAGGCGAGATTGCGGCACCGAACGGTGATGATTGTCAAGTTGCACCTAGCTACTGATTCTTCTGACGAGGATCTGGCGTGGGCACCAGTTTAGGCAAAATCCTCGCTGTGCAGTACCTAATTCAGACCCTCGCCGCCATACTGCAGCAAAAGATAGGATACTACATCTAGGGAACGGCAAAGATGTGTGTAATGATATGATCGTCAAATCAGATCGGCCCCCAAAACCCCTCTTGCTCCCTTTACCCCAACCGTCTCACAAAGCCTGCTTACTGTGCAGCTTTTGAAGGACAGCATGTCGGCTATCGATCGGATATCTGTCTGTCTAACAGCTGCCTAGACAGTTTTTCTCTTGTCGGAAAATCGGGTTTGAAACATGGACGTCTCCATTTTCGCGCAGGCAAGATCCCAATCCGTTGTCCACTCCTCGTAAAAAGGTTGATACCCTAGCAAACCCCCCAACCACCTGCCGACGACGATACCCAGTGTGCGAGCGACCAAGGAGCGAAAGGGCACCCACCAAGGCAGGCTCAAGTACGAGTCTCCGCCATCAAACATCTAGATAAAAGTGATTTAGAATGAGTTGAGATGGGTAAGAATAGTGGAGCACTTACACTCATGACTTGAATTAGGTCCAACCTGGCCCCGTGCACAACAATCTGCTCCTGGTACGCGTACCAGTTCTCGAAAAAGACCAAATCTAGCGCAAAAGCGTTTGGTGTCCCTTCGGCAGACAAGTTGCAACGTACTCTCTCAGTCTGGTTTTGGGCAGTATCACTGGTGGTGGTGGGATAGAGGCGATGGTTCACGCCGCGCCGCAATACGAATTCCGGGTCGCCAGGCCTTACAATGTGCTCGACGCCCTCGACCTCGACGGTCAGGGCCCCCTCAGTCACGCTCACATACTCTTCTTGATATGGATGGAAATGCGCGGGTGGTTTGGAAGGCGCATTGCGCAGCCGTGGGTGATTGGGATAGAATATGACCTCAAAGTGAAAGGCACGCTGCTTCTCAGCTTGTAGGACACGCGTGACTATGGCGCCCTCAAAGCTAAGCTTTTCTTGTCAGATGCCTGTTTTTGCTGTATTTGGCCTCAAAAACGGGAGAAACCTACGCTGTGATGTTCAAGGTACCGTCGTCCTGCAGCTCATGGGGCAGGACGGCCTTGAGCCTTTCAATCCTGGTCATTGTGATGATGGATTTTCAGATTATGATCAAGTGTTGAATATAGACATAGTTTTGAAGAGAACGAGACGTCGTGCGGGGCGAGAAAAGTGAGAGCAAGGCATAGACAGCCAGAGCTATATCGAGGGGGGAAAGGGGGTATCCTGTTCAATCGCCTGCGCAAACATCGTATGGAAATCGTCCAATTGCTACATTTACCAGCAATTTCTAGAGACTTTTACTACGTAATCCATAACCGACGGCATATTTGCTAGTCTTATCATGCCCATGTACCATGCCGCTGGGATATGCGCATGTAAGCTGTAGACTTCGTAACCATGCAGCTAAGCTGGACAGGGCTTGACCCACCGATATGCATTTATGAATTATGTGAGGGGGGTTACATCGGTCTGTTCCATTCTTCAAAACATCAACGTCCTTTTCAAGGCCAGAGCTGATGCAGTGACAGGCGTCGCCCGAAATACTCGGCGGCTAGCGCGCCAGTGATGGAAAAGCCCGCCGTCCAGAACCCGTGACCGAACCACCACCAGCAGCTCCCTGAATCCTTCAGCTTGACGAATGCAATCATGCATCCCAGAGAAATTGCACATCCACTGGTAGCAATTATGGTATAGTACGGCCAAATTCCCTCCGATGAGGCACCGCAGGCTACCAACAGTGCCAGCTGGCCACACAGTAGGACGGACAGCCCGGGCTTGGTGTACCGATCACCCAGCAGCACAGCCATGCTGCGCAGCCCAAGCCTCTTGTCGTCGACCAGATCCTGGTGAGCATAGATTGAATCGTATATCGCGGTCCAGCAAACGCAGGCAAGCACGAGATAAACCACGGGTGGCGAGACACGCACGGATGGGAATGGTGACCAGGCCGGACTGGCCGTGGTGGGCATGGTCAGAAAGGGCTCAATGGCAAACGGCTCGTAGTTCATGGCGACACAGCCGACAATGACGCCCCAGGCTAGACAAGATCCCAGCACGAACTGGGCCAGATGCGTGTGGCGCTTGGCATAGGGATAGTACAATGTCGCCAAGGCGTTTGGCAGAATGTAGTGCGAAGCTGATTCCGCGGCGCGGCCGGGTATGCCGAGACGCAATACGGCAACGCCGAGTATCGCCTGGGAAGCCGCAAAAATGGCGGCGCCGCGGCTGGACACGGCGCCCCGGGGGATGGGACGCTGCTGGGTCCGCGCGACCAGCGCATCAAGCGGGGCGTCGGCCAAGTCGTTCCAGGCGTGCGCTGCGTTGGAGAAGAAGAGACTCCAGGGCAACAGGACCATGCACGCCCGCAGAAGCTCCATGGGAGGAGCGTCCTTCAGGATAGCTGCCAGCAGCGCGCCAAAGAGGTGTGGGAAATATATCAGTGCCAACCCGGCCGGGGGGCTCAGCCGAGCCAGCTGCACGTAGGGAATCCAGGACTCTGGGAGTCTCGACACCCAGCGGCCGGTGTGTTTGCCTCCATATTGCTGTGAAAGCGCAGTCGTGGTAGTCTTTTTATGTGCTGCGCACTTTTCAGTATTGGTTACTGCCTGAGAACCGGCCGCCATCGTACAAAAGCCGGTAAAGGATTTGCGTGCTTTTATCTGGCAAAGCGGTACGTGTAACATAAATAACAATAATTCCCATGGGTAGGTAGGCGGGTGAATATATATGTACATATATTGATCTTTGACGGAAAGTCGGAAGCGCGCTGCCGAGGTATACCAAGGTTACATATGCACAGTCTTTACCTAAGCTGTACTATGACACCGACCCGTCGCTTATCCTATAAACCTTGGCAGATATGACCCCTGCGGGATATGCACCTGTTTAACGACCAATTGCTTTCCCCTCTAGATGCCTAGTTTGAATCCACCTGGTACCAATTTTTGAAAAACGAAATCGGGGTCGTAGCGTTGCTGCACGTCCTTCATCTTTGCTACATTTGCCGAGCCGTAGCTCTGCAGAACTGGCTGACTGTAACTTGCGTCATTCGAGAATAGGTACTCCACTCCGAGGTCTCTCTCCGTGGCCGCGTCCCAAATGGAATCTCGGATGGCAAGCGTGGCATTGTGCCCAGCAGCGTCATCGGAAGCCTCCCACCAGCCCGCGTCCAGCACGAACCAAGTATGGTTGACTGTCGGAAGCCCAAAGACATTGCCTCCTCGTTCTTGACCCGCGAGAACAAGGCTGGCTGAGATGGGTTGCAGACCAATAGCCATGGAACCTGCAATGAGGGACTTTATAGGCGCCAAATTGGCTTCCGACGTGGTTAGATTGTTAATGGTTCCGTACAACTCGGCGTCGGGCAGAAAACTCGTGGCGAACCAATCAATACGAGGAATGTCAGGCACATATTGATTCGCTAGCATCTCAGTGAGCGTCTGAATGCCTGTACTATCGCTGGTTGTGGGGATGGAGTAAAATGGTGCAAACGCCTCAGGATCCATCTCTGGTTTAAGGTATACAATGTCAAGCACAGCTCCGGTGCTGACGTTGGTCGTAAAGGCTTGCAACATGACATTGGCGTAAGGATCTTTGTTTGGAGTTGCTTGGTACTCAGCCATGGCTGCGTAGAGTGCGGGGAGCTGTTCAATGTCGTAAAACTTGAAGCCACCCCATACCTCGTGGATGGGGTAAGTGTTGAGCTTGAAAGAGGTGACGATTCCTGCTCGTGATGATACTTGTTAGCTAGAGCATCACTCAGCCTGAAGCATGCATTCCACTAACCAAAATTGTTGGCGCCGCCTTTGAGCGCCCAATGTAAGTCTGGGTTTTGATCGGCGCTTGCCGTAACGAGGGATCCATTTGCCAATACAATCTACGGCTGAATCAGTACAATGTCAAGGAGCCTTGATACAGGTAAAAGGATAACTGACTCGATGTTCTATCACATTATCGCAACCAAGTCCATAGAGATCCGACAGGTAAGAAAGGCCGCCTAGGTTTCAATAGCGTCAGGAGACAGGCCTCGCATAAGAACGACAAGGTAATGGATCTTACTCTGCAGGAGAAACCCGCTGACTCCGACATCCAAGACCCTTCCACCAACAGCCGTGACGTTGTACTCGTCGAGAGCGTTGTAGACATCGCCCCATCTGTTGCCTGAGCCCACTGTGACTGTGGAAGTTGTCGCATCATAAGTGACATGCGTAAGGGAAGATGTGTCGATCAGCACGCCGTTGTCGATATTTGCAGCCCCTGGGGAAGGACTGTGGCCACCTGAGCGGATAGCAAAGGGAACTTGTTCAGACACCAGCAAGTCGACAACTGTCTGGACATCTTCCTCGGATGCGGGCTGTACAATACACGAGGGACTCGCCCATGCAGTAGCAGACCTTTGCCATATTTCTCAGCACGCGATATCTTGTACATTAGGGGTACGGTGAACCAACCAGTTCTCATGGGCAAGTTCCACATAGCTGGTGTTGCCCGGAGAGGAAGAAACAGTCGACACGAGAGATGCTAGTTTGCTACAAGTGCCTTCCACGTCGCTTTGAGCGCACGCGGTGCTCATGAATAGCGCAATTGCCGTTATAAATGGACGTGCAGAATACATTTCTGACGATTTTTTCTTCATTTTTTTTTTTAATTTCTATTCGCCTCCCTTGACTCCATGATAGAACACTTATATATACATATTTCATAGAGTGGGTCAATCAGCTGGCATAAAAACCATGGCTGACGCAAAGACGCAACCCGAGCCATGTCTGCGTTTGTACCCTACGGAATAGAGACATTTCAACTGTAAGCCGTTATGTGGCTATTCTGCCTTGACGGTCAACTTGATGACAACTAACAATAGACCGCAGTTCAGGAACCGAATCCCTGTGATCCAGTAAATGATTGCGTGCAGAATTTTGCAAGTCCTCACTATGACCTGACTGACTAATGCAGGGGTGGAATCCCCTGGTAAGCTGTGCTGAAGAATTTTGTCTAGGACACCAAGAACATTCCTATCGGGTAGGTCAGTATAAAGAACAGTCCCCTAAGGAGTCAGAACGGGACCGAGTTGAGCAATTGGTATGCCCTATCGCTACCATTCGATGCGGTTCGGTCTAAACGGGACAAGACGACGTTTGCCAAATCTATTTTGAGCCCAGTCTGAGTGCGCACGCAGGAAGAGTAACGAGATGTGCATCACGTACGACTTGAGTGGATTGCCGCTAAAGACTGCAGTGTACGTAGCATTGCATCGCACTGGTCCTCGGCACCACGGCTCAACATTACCAAAAATGAAACAAGTCGGGAACAAAGAAATTGAAAAGCGACAGTAGTTGCCTCATTCCTGCATCTACGATATACCGTCTGCATGTAAGACGGTACCCAACTGGCCCCCCGCATGAGCAAGGGACTTATCAGCCCGCCCCCACTGGCCCTAGGCTTCCTCCCGGGGGTAGAGTGCTTAGCGGGCGACACGTCCAACATAAGCCATGGGCTGCAAAGGGGGGTCCAGGCAGGCTCCCCAGCCCTGTGCAACGTCGTCTCGCAACGCCTGACGCCGGCGCTCACCACCGGCAGTGTCGAATACCCTTCTTCCCTTGGAGACTGACTTCACCCGATGACCCAAGTTTCCCCTTTGCGTTCCATTTCCTTGGTGGTTCTGTTGCAAGACTCAATCTTGAACATCAGTAAATTACTTCACTTGCCATGGAGAGCACAATTCTCATGACCGGGGCCAACGGCTCGCTGGCTATTCCCGCTGTGGAATACATTTTGCAGCATTCGCCAAAGGTGGCGCTTGTACTCACCGTCCGCGATGCCAGCGATGGCGACGTCAACACAAAGGCCCTGCGTGACGCCGTTGCAAAGTTCCCCGAAGCTCGCGTCTCAATCAGAGCCCTCGACCTTGGCCACCTTCAAGCGGTATCCGACTTTGCTGGCAGTATCGCAAATGAGATTGCCCAAGGAACGCTCCCCAAGCTCTCCAGTATCGTCGGCACCGCCTATTACTGGAATCTAGTCGGCCCAGCGGAGCTGACTGGCGACGGCTACGACAAGACGTTCCAAGTCACCTACTTGTCACACTTTTCCCTCGTACTACGCTTGCTTGGCAGTTTCCAGGAAAGTGGCGGCCGAGTCGTCCTGTATACCAGCGACGGCCACGAGCCGGGCAAGAATGGCCTCGAGAAGATCCCGCCTTCGATCCCCGCCGATGCCGCCGCCCTCGACTTGCTTGTCAAGCCATCTCCGGATGATCCGTCAATTGACGCACTCGGCCACGGCTTCCATCGTTATGCCAACGCCAAATTGGCCCTTGTCATGTTCACACACGCGCTGAACCGACGCCTCCAGAAGGACGCCCAGCTGGCAAACATTACCGTGGTAGTGACAAACCCAGGCAACTTGGCAGACTCACGCGCTCTAACGGTCAACACCCCGCGCAAATTAATCATCTTGTCCAAGTTTGTGCTACGGCCCTTGAGGCCGTTGTTGAGCATGAGTAAGTCGACTTTTGGTGTTCATGATGCAGAAGATAGATGCACACAAGCAAATGCTAATCTTATACACAAATAGTGGACCCAACCGCGCGCACCGTCGCTGAAGCGGGCCGCGACACTGCCAAACTAGCCACGGGCGAGGCCAACCCTGGCGAGCGTGGGTACTTTACGCTACTCAAGCCGGATTCCGGATCCAAGGACAGCCAAGACGAAGAAGCTCAAGAGGCGCTTTGGTCAAAGAGCGTACAGTGGACAGGCCTTGAGGCAAAGGACGCGAGGCTATTGTAACTGCATCTATTCAGGGCCTGGTGACGCCTGTGTGGCATAAGGGTCATACAGGTAGGTAGCTTGTATTGTAAACAACCTTAATAAAGGCAAGACGCCCGAGCGCTGTGCACTACAAGTTGTACGATCTTGAGTGGTGGTAACGTGGGGAAACGACCAACTGCATATGTAATATGGCCAAATGAGTAAAATGACAAACAGGGTTGTTGGTCCATGGCACCGAAATGCCCCATGTAGGTATCTATCTGCCTTTAGGTACTTGGCTATCCACTAGTGCTATGGTATACATACAGGTAGGTGTACATGAGTGTCGTGTCATGTCTTGCGCTGTGCCGTGCCCCACCATGGCCCAGATCGGATATCTCCCATGTCACCCACCCCTCCATTGAGTGGCACAATACCAAGGTACTTTGGTTCAAGTACAAGTGAATAGGTATGTACTTAAGAAATCGCTGCCATGTCTTGGGGAATGGGCATGGACTCTAACTGGTCTCGTGTAACTGTTGTACAAAGTCCTTTCGCAAATTGTCCGACAACGACGATGGGACAACTCCAGGCTTGGGTCAGCGATCTCAACCTCAGAGACCCTTTGGTCGCCGCCTCTCTTCTGATTTTATCACTATCTATTACTGCCACTATATGGAAGAGTTACGATAGCCTGTCATCTTTCCCTGGACCTCGTCTCGCAGCATGGAGCCGCATATACTCGGTCTGGATAGTGCTCACAGGTCGTGAACATGAGTGGCTATTACAAGCACACGACAAGTATGGTATGATTAATGCGCTAGCTAAAAGATGGTTTTGAACCCGAATCTCAATTATTTCATGGCTAGGTCCTCTCGTGCGGTGGCAACCCAACCTGCTGCTCATCAATGATCCAACCATGCTGCCAAAGATATACCATCTACGTGCTAATAAGACCCGGCATTACAACCATTCACCGAGTGATGTCAAGGGCATGGTTGAAGAGAGCGATTGGCAAAAGCATCGGGCGAAACGACACCGGATAGACTCTGCAGTAACCAACCCCTTCAAAAGATATAAAACCACTTTAGACCTTTTGGGTTGACTCTAGTGATTCTCAGTTCTCCCCAAAGGCAATCTTCGATAACGAGGAGCTCGTGGATGTCTTTGTTACAAAATGGATCGATGCATTGAGTGCTCAATTTGCCACCAATGGCAACATCTTTGACTTTTCGGACTGGGGAAAGTATGTTCCAACACAATGCACTGCATGATTAATTCTAAACCTGGCTTACTCGGTACAAAGCTTTCTAGCCCTGGACGTCGTCACCAAGACCTTCTTTGGGCAAGAGATGGGCTTTATCGAACATGGCGACAAGAACAGTATACTGGCGGATACCCGCGCCAACGGCCCAACGATTCATGCCTTGGCGAGGCTCCCCAGACTCAAGATGTTCCTCCTCAGGTCATTTGGCAGGTTCTTAGTACCGACAGCCGGTGACGGCTCTGGTCTCGGAAATGTCCTTTTGGTAAGACTTACTGCTTGGAGAATGTTTTCTCGCTAATATGATTCTCCAGCTTAGGGACCAGCTTTATCAAGAACGACTGAATACAAAGGACAAGGACTTACGCATAGGTCTTGATAGGCAAGTTATGAGATATTCCAACACTGTAATTATAATTGCGTGCTGACAACTTATGATGACAGGGTACTTCTTGATAATATGCACAACGATGCGTTCAGCCATGAAGAGCTCAAAGAAGATGTTCTTTTTGTTGTGTAATACCTTCTTCCATCAGAATCTTCTCAAGATATATACTCATAAATCCACACTATTAGTCTTGGCGCAAGCGACACCACTGGCCATGGTATCCGTTGTCTCATCCGCAATCTACTACAGCATCCGCCTTGTCTTGCTCGGCTCCGCCGGGAGATTGACGATACGGTCAGGAGAAACGGCGGCATCGACCAGATCCGATTTGCACACATCAACTCCCAGATGCCGTATCTGTCGGCCTGCATCCGCGAGTCGCTTCGCCACGATCCGCCCATTGTGAGTTTCCTGCCACGCTGGGTCGACGGCCCAGATGGTGTCGAACTGTGTGGCCGGTTCGTACCTCCCGGCGTGGAGGTGGCCTGCTCGCCATATGTACTCAGTCGCAACCGCGACCTCTACGGGCCCGATGTGCACTCGTTTCGTCCCGAACGTTACAGCGAAGCTTCGGAGGAGTGGGTAGCCAAGGCTGCGCGGTACGATTTCGTATTTGGTTATGGGCCTCGGCACTGCATTGGTCAGCGCTTGAGCCACTTTCTTACGTGCAAAGCCATTGTGCAGGTGAGAAGTCCTACGAAAAGTCTTGCCCCGTACCATGCTCGACTGACAATTGACACCTTGAGTTAGCTCTTTCATCACTTTGATGTGGATTTGATCGATCCCGGTTCTGGAAAAGCATTCCTGAATTGGAACTATTCTGGTCTCAGGCTTCGACTTTCACGCCGGGCAAACGATGGTGCTATTTAATAGTACCTAGATAGGTTCGTGGTCGATGTTGTCCAGGTCTAATGTCTCTGAAAGCAAACCTCATAGTGGTTGAGAGCAATGTATTTTCCCTGCGCACTATTTCTCTCCAAAAGTGTGGATTTCGGGACCATGTCTTCTCGTCAATGATGATCATTTGCACATCAGGATGCTATACTTGGCAGAAGATTGAGGCAGCCGAGGTACAAGGACGATTCATTGGATTGAATTGTACGGTCGTGGACGGCGATGCGTCGGCAGTTCTTATTTCGCATAATCAAGTCCACATATCTACCATTCGAAGCCAACGCCCTACGTGACTAGCTCTTTACGCAAAGCGACCATTGAACTACATCAGCAAGACTCTCCCAACCAAACGGCCAGCTTGAAATAGCAGTCTTTCCGTCCTTGGATGCTACCTCGTCGGCTGCTCCCGCGTTGAGCACTTAAGCTTGGGGACCGCTTGAAATGAGGGTAAGCAAGGTGCTTTGAAATCAGATCGTGTGACGGGTAAACAGTCCTTGACCTTGTTAATGATAACCATTATTACTTTGCTGTCCGATATGACATGTGACTGTTTGCATTACCAGCATATACGGCCATAGGCACTAGAGAACTCGGCATCCCGACGGCTGGGAATCCCCGGTGTTGTATGTCCTTATCCATCTTTTTGTCGTTACGAGGCCTTGTTAGTATTGAAGACACATTGCGACGCCCATTACCATTAGCGACATGAAGGCCAAGGCACGTTATGCAGCACACGTGACCTGGTGGGCATCCTACGACTCCTCCAATGGCCAAAACTCGGAAGCTCGCTGGCTCTCATCTCAATAACATACAGTCTGGGCCTCTAAGGTTGGAGAAGCCTTTCCATGGGGGCGTCCACCTCATCGAGAATCTCATCTGTTTCCCCCCACCAACATCTACCAATCTTTCTGCCTTCTTCTGAAATGCCAAGAGTGTTGCTCCGCTAAAATGCGCAGCGTTATAGATGGAAAGCTAACCCCACTCTCTAGCCCGGTAAAGGAGCTACACGTTATGGTAGCATGCCACAGGCTGCCGAGAAAACCGTCCATTTTTGTCAGGTAGACATATCCTGTGACCGCCGGATCAGTACTCAGGTTGATGACGACTGGGAAATCCCCGGTGTTGTATTATTTTGTCTTTTTGGTCAAAAACTTAGTTTTTTTTTTTTTTTACCCTGTGCGCATGTCCTAGCAGTGTGGCAGGATTGATTTAAATGCGCGCAAAGGGTAAACGTGAACAAGAAGCTGAAAAAGAAGTCTGACCGATGCTGACCAGTTACAGGGGAGGGTGAGACGCATCTTGCCACTTCCAGAGTAGTGATATGCGGTGTGGTTACTTCGGAGCGACAAACAGTCATCATAGTCCTACAAAAGCAACTCCTTCCCTCTTCCACAAGTTGGAGTTGTTTACTTACTAAACTCAACATCTCTCGGCCTGTTCCCATAATCAATTCGATCCTTCTCGTCGTTTTGCGTTGATACATTGTTTTAATGAAAGATGTCTCAAGTCTGCAGCGTTTGTTACGGCATATTGGAAAAACTCTTCGATGACGAAACTTATTCCGACGTGACCTGGGATGAGCGCGGCATGTATAGGGTGACGAAGTTTGGCGTGACCAAACCCAGCCAAAACGAGGGTGCACAAGAGCTGGTCAATTGTTTAACCCTATTCGAGTCGTGTAACTTGTGCCGATTATTCAAAGCTTCGGGCATGCCTGGGCGTTGGACGCATGATGACGCAAAGAATTTCGAGCCTCACATCAGAATCGCCCCGGATGCGCAGCTTCCTGGGAACAAGGGAATTGGCTTGATCAGCCTGGGAGGTTATAGTGGCGCTGGAATTCATCTCGTGGCCGACGCCTGTGAGTCGTGGCAGCTAAATATGGGCAACAAGCTCTCACTGACCCTTATGCGTTTTAGCAAGTCAAGCATATGGCCGGGGCGATGTTAGTGGAACTTTTCTACACAATACAGGAACACCCGAGTCGTTCGTGAAGTGCAGAGAATGGTTCACAAGATGTCAGAAGCAACATTCGCAGTGCGAATACACGATGGCGGGCGACATGATTGGTCTTGAACATCCATTGCCGACGAGGATTCTAGAGATTGATACAGAAAATGACTGTTTGAGACTTGTGGAGACCCGAGGGACGATGGGACGCTGGGCCGCATTGAGCTATTGCTGGGGCGGCGACGTGCCCTTGAAAACGACTAGAGAGAACTTAGGTCAGCGCCTTGCGGGTATTCAGATGTCGGATCTACCCAAAACGTTCTTTGACGCCGTGAAGGTTACCCGCGAACTTGGGTTACACCACATCTGGATCGACAGTCTTTGCATTCTGCAAGGCGATGTTCAGGACTGGAAGTCGGAAGCCGGTAAGATGGGTGCGGTCTATGAGTTTGCCGAGATTGTCTTGGTTGCCGCAGCCGCCGAGAATTCTGTGGCAGGATTATTCATGGATGTAAACACCGATGAGTATCGCGAGCCCGACACCGAGGAGTATCGCGAGCCCGAGCTAACATGGGCGGAACTGCCATATATCAAGGGAGGCGTTGAGGCGGGAAGCATCTGGGGAGTTGCAAATGCACACAGGTCGACCTCGATGGAACTGTTTGCGCCTCTGAAAACTCGCGCCTGGACAATCCAAGAGAGGTGCTTGGCGCGCCGAAGCATTTACTTCGCAAAAGATGGCATCTGGTGGTGTTGTCGCCAGTATGAAAGTACTTGCTGGCGCCATGACGCCAAATCATTCGTTGATCATCAAGTCCAATGGCGAGAAACTGGAGACTGGTCGCTACTTCTCAAACATTTCCAGTCTGGTAGGCTAACGGTTCTCACGGACAACCTACCGGCCTTGGAAGGAATCGCTAGCCGAGCTGCTGCCAATCGGGGAGACAAGTATTATCACGGTTGCTGGACCGGAGACATGCCTGATCAGCTTCTGTGGTGTGGCCCGGTAGAGCGGCCGGCGGAATTGGCGGATAGGCCGACCTGGTCTTGGGCATCCACTTACGGTCGTAGACGGTTTTATATTTACGACGAATCTGGCGCTGAAGAGCCTCGTGGTGTTTATTGCCAATCATTCGATCCAGGTACGGACGGAGAGCTCAAGGTACGGCTATGCCCGATACTCACCAATATTGACGCCATCCAAACCCCGCTGGACGACGACACATTACGACGGAATTTGCACCTACACATAGGCATAAACCATGTAGCTGCATTCTTGTGTTCCTCCTTGACAAATATGCTAATGATTAAGGTTGATGGTCAAATAGTTGGTGGAGCAGTAGTTGATGACATGGTTTGGTACCTCAACCAAGTCAAAACCGGCAATGCCTTGGCTGGCTGCGTGCTTCTCCGAGCAGAAAAGTACGGGCAGGATGATTCATCTTGCGACTCTCCAAACAGGTATTTCGGGCTTCTCTTGGTTCGAAAATCTGGAGATCCAGACACTTATTCCCGAGCGGGACTCATGATGCTTCACAGCACTTCATGTGTCGAAAAGGCCATTAGAAAGGACTTTGTATTGATATAGTTGGGACTGGGTGATCGAGATGAGACCAGAGATTTGGAAGCGATGATTACCTAGTACTCAAGAATCATGTGTCTCGGCCGCAGCAGCGGGCCCTAGGGACATGGAATGATTGGCAGCAGCCTAGTAAACGAGCTCATGTCATGTCATATGGAGGAGTTATCAATAGACTTTCAATCTGACAGACATATTCCTTCGAAAAATAAAACACATCAACTCCGGAGCCAGAAATATGTTCCTTGAACGGTCCTTGACATTGCCAATCAAGAAAATAGACCTAGTCAATTTGTATCATGGATGGCAACGCCCCAGATGGTCCCTAAGGATCGAACAAATGACCACGTTCCAGTGCTTGTTGCGACTTGACTTTCTGGAAGTGCAGCCTGGACAGCATGTAGCATAGTCGAGATGATGGCACCGCCCCCAATCCCAGCAAAGATTTGGTAAAAGATCCATTCAGCCTTGGACGAGTTTTGGTCCAGAGTTCAGCTAAGGCCCATGACGAGGGGCATTAAGCCAGTGGCCACGATATGGGTAGGCTTGTACCGTCCAGTCTTTGTTACAATTACACCACCAACTGCTGCGAAAAGCGGGAAAAAGATGGCACGAGGTAGCGTATTGACTCCCGCAATCGCTGCTGAGTTTCCCAGCACCGCTTGCAAGTAAATTGGATAAAAGAAGTTGATCCAGAACGCGAGAAGCATGCTCATGAATGAGATGAAGAAAGCCGCAGCGGAAGTTTGATTCTTGAAATGGAGGGGTGGCATTACTGGATACTTGCACCATGGTGACATTTCCCAGAGAAAGGCAATGATAAGCCCGATGAGTCCGGTGACAAGAGGTGCCAGAACGTTGCCCTGCTGCCATGTATAACGCGTGCCACCATACGTCAGAGCCCAGAGGATAGCGAATGTCGATGCGATCAGGATCAAATTTCCAACGACATCGACACGTTTAATCCTTTCCCACGTCGAGAGATCCTTCTTCCATTGAACCTGGAGAAATAAAACGAGCAGGATCAAGGCTAAAGCTCCAAAAGGAAGGTTGATGTAGAATACCTTCCAAGACCATGAGTTGGGCCCGACGCGACAAGGGGGGCAAGACATGACTTACCCATCTCCAGGTGACGCGATCCGTCAAGATACCGCCGACAAATGGGCCTATGGTAGCGCCCAGGCTGACGAAGAGAAAGAGCAAGCCAATAAAGTTTCCGCGCTCGCGCATGGGAACAAGATCGCAGATGATCATGTCAATGAGCATGTTGATACCCCCAGCTCCGATACCTTGGACAGCTCGCGACCAGATGAGCATGCTCATTGAGGTCGAGCCGCCACAAAGGCCGCTCCCCAAGAGAAATATGACCGTGGCTCCAATCATGACATAGCGACGACCCCATAAATCTGCCAGTTGGCCATACAGCGGTTGCAATGCAGCACTCAAGTCATTGTTAGTTTATATCCTTGGCATTGGGATAAAAGGCCTACCTAGTCAGAAAGTAAACATTCACCACCCAAACGTAATCATCGCCACCTTGCAAGGAGGCAACGATGCTCGGAAGGGCCGTGGCAACGATTGATCCGTCTAGGGCCGACACAAGGCCTGTACAGCACAGGCCTAGGAAAGCGAGCCAGAAGCTTGGGGGGTAGCGTGTCATGGCTGGCTTCGATGCAGGAACCTTCGGAGAGCCCTCAACAAGTACACTATGAGGGGTATGCCCTGTGGTAGCTGCGTCGCCAGCAAGCGAGTCCAGCTGTATCTGCTCATCCCCGAGAGACATTGTACGTGCAAAACGTTGCGTTGGGAGGGAAATGAAGTGGTAACGTTATGGTCTGGAGAAGGTGAGATCTGCAGAAATGTCCGTCCGTTTGTTGTTTCCCATGCCTTGAAGCCTTGCTGGGATGTGCAGGATTTCAAATTGGAGAAATGAGCATCTTCGACAGCCTAATATCGCATTTGTGTTGCATAGCAGACTGATTCAAGGAGTCATAGCATTGTTTGTTGGTGAGAGCTCCGAATCACGTGAATCGGAGGGCCAACAATTCGGACATCGGAGATGACAAAGGAGCTGATCCGGCCCCCAAAGCGAGTCCGATATGCACCCAGACCGGTGAATATATCCAGAGTTCGGCGCATTTCGGGGAGAGCTTTTGGCGCAACCTGTATCAGTGTCGCCTTGTCAACATCTGCCCGTGTCCGTAGCTTCTGAGCAATATCAGAGGCCATGTCTCCATACATGACGGCCCTAACAGCCAGAGTCGAGCGGCGGGTGTTGAGCGTCCAGGTCAGATCACGCGTGCTGACGTCGTAGTGCTGGCCGAGGAACTCCGCATATCTGTGCAGACACGCTCGCAATGCCGTCTCGGAGGCAGCTGAGAAGTGCACAGGGGCAAAGCAGGGAAGCGAGGCATCTGTAGCAGGACTACAGGGCGCAGGTTCATAGGCCTTGTTGATACCGTTGGTGTTGGCGCCCCCGAAGCCAAGGCTGTTTATGCTGGCTCGTGGGACTTCGCCAGGGGCCAAAGCCGGCCGATTTCGGGGTTGAGCCGATCGAAGAGCCGATCAAGGGGCACAATACGGTGTTGAAGGCTCAGACTCGCCTTAGACAATGCCGCCAGGCCAGCAGTGCCTTCGGCATGGCCAATGACCATCTTGATGGACCCGACATATAGGTCCCCGCCACCAGGGCTACCTGGGTTCCGTCTCCGGATCGCGATACCTGGACAGCCTGGCGCACAGCCACGGGACTAGACGAGCAGGCTGTATCGATTGTCATTGCGGGACCGTGCCAGTTGAGAAAATATGATACCCGATTAGAGAGGATGGAAGCTGCCGTGCCCATCGCAAAATACTTAGTGTAGCTTTCCTGGTCGTTTCCGAGCAGGTCCTTGTAGTCCGAAGACATGAGGCCCACATACAACGCGGTTTGAGAAGCATTCAGCCGCCGGACGCTTTGGCCCGTGGCCTCAACTCCTTCGTAGACTGTCTTCAACAAGAGACGATGCTGTGGGTCGATCGATTTGGCCTCGACGGGTTTGATGCCAAAGAATTGTGCATAAAAAAGTCGAAAATCTTCATCCAAACGTAGGAGTGCCGTACGTTTGTGATGCCATGGTGCATGTTTTCTCTTGGGATAGAGCCCATGGACAGTGAAGCTGCTGTCCGGGATAGCCGCGAGTTTACCGGTTGGATGTTTGAGCAACTCCCATAGCTTTGCCGTCTCAGTTACTCGTCAGGAAAGCGACATTGCACTGCCAATGACGGCGATGAGCGCGTTAGAGCTCTGTCCTTGTTGTGGTGTCATGGTGCTTGTAGATTGAAAAATCAGTTCAAGCGTCGACGCTCATTTCTCAAGCACAGAGCTATACAGTGACTGGCTGACAGGGTCAGCTAGTACAGTGATACAGCCCCTTTTTCAGTTTGGTCTTGTTCTAAAAGTCGCAGGTCCAGCACGACTCAGAGCACCCTCAGATTCCCGTCTATTCGGCATGCTGCTGGATTTTAATTTCATGGGCCCTCGTGTCAGCCACCCGTATTACAATGAACAGGGAAACAATTGCGAATCGCTGGGTCTGAGGGGGAAAGTATCATCAATGTCGTGCGTCGGCATCGATCAATGGGAATGATATAATTGAACGGATCAGATCATTCCGCAGCTGTGAGCTTACCCGGCTTACATTACGCCGCAGTCGATGCGTTATGCTGCCAAGGATGCGTCCTAGGATGCTTTTTACGCCTCCTGTTGATTGTTTGTGTTGGATGGCTGGTGTGTGATAGCACGCCATGGGACAGCTCACCAAGGAACCCCACATTGTTGGTTGCCTTTATGCGAGGTGTTCGATAGTGGGCGCGTGACAAGGGTAGCCGTTGTAAGTGGCGCATACCTAGGTAGCCATTATGTGCCCTGTCTTGCTACAAGTGTTTTCAAGTTTAGCGAACCCCAATTGCGCCGTGGGCTCTTGCCCCAGCGCAGCATTAGTAAGGTAAACAGACGGCAAGGTGACTGCTGAGCAGCACCCCATATACCCTTGTGCGAACATGCCATACTTTATCAATGGAAATGATTGTAAAATCATGTGAGTTCCTCTGTAAAGAAAACAAAATTTGAATGAGATATTTCGGCTCCGGTAGAACGTGAGACGACATTCAACACCAGCACAGGGCTTGGTCTTCCGACTTGGCACAATTTGTTGTACCTCCCCCACCCTTCGCGTTCCACTCTGCGGAATGGCGCTGTTGAAATAATGGGTGGCCAGAATCACGCCGCCCCAACCCAAACCCAAACCCGACGATACCAATCATCCTCGGCGCCATCCGTCAACTACTCTCGCCGCTATGCCTGCGATCGGTGCCGGGGCCATAAGCTTCGATGCGTCCGCGATCATCTCACCACCGAGGGCGCCTGCCAGCGCTGTCGAAAGGCGCGAGAAAAGTGCACCATTGGCGGGAGCACACGTTCCCGTCCGCCCAGAGACAGCGTCTGCCGGGTAGTCTCACACAACGAGTCTTCCAGCTCTGCGAGCCCAACCCGCTCTGCACGTCTGGTCTTCCCCCAGCAAGCATGGGAGTCTGTTGAATATGGAGATGGGCAAAATCAATTGCGAGACGATAACGACATCAACTGGCTCGATACGCTTGATGCCACATACAGCAACATTGCGTGTGAACTCGACCCGGAGACTCTCGGCGGTGGAGCAATTGGGGGACAAGATTATGGGGACGTTGGAAGCGCCATGCTTACCACGACCCAAAAAACTAGCGCCGGGGCTTACGCCTTCACATCAGCTCCGGAGCACTTCGAGTTCAGCCCTGTTGTTAACATCTCTGGGGATCGTGAAGCACTCACCCTGCAATCAAGCCAGCAGCATCGCAAAGATACTCCTTCAAATAGCAACGATGCCTCGTCCTCAACTCCATCCACGTGTGCCCACGAACCTCCAGTGGCACTAAATGCTGCCCATAGGTTAACTCCGCAAGGCTCCTCCAATTCTGGACCTTCAAACCAAACGAGTGCCACGGATGAGTCCGTTGCACCAAATGCTGAGCTCAAGGATGCGGCCATTCACGAGCTCTCCGAGCTCAGCACGAGCTTGATGAAAGACCTGCACAGAGTAGTTAGCTGCAAGTTAGCAAGCTCGTTCATTTTGACCTGTTCTGATAAGAGGCCTGCCGAGTACTTGTTCAAGACGCTAGATGGGTCAACCAGTCAGGAAAATGCCATCGGACGGATGCTCCAGGGTTCGGAAAAGTTTCTCGAGATTATCCAGTCATTTAATCAATTGTCACACTCCCCGGATTCGCTTCCTGACAATGCAATGATCGACCAAACACTGAACTTACATGACCATGAAGAAGGCCCAGACAGCTCTGAAAGAGCTGATCATGCACAACTGGAAAGGAGATGGAAAATGCTCCAATCATGTCTGGAGCGCCAGAGCCCAATACCAACTGCACTCACTTCAGGGATTTTCAATCTTTCCTGGAAACCGGACATGACCTCAAAACTAGCCGTCTTGACTTGTTACACGTGCCTTCTCCGAATATACGAGACTGTGTTCTCCGTGATTCATCACACACTGGAGTTTTCTCCCGCTCTGGCCGCGACCATCAAGCTGCCTCCGACAGTTCCAGGCTTGGAAATAAATGGTTTCGTTATACACAGGCACCGGAGTCTACAAATCAAGGTGCTGATCCAGATAAGTACCTATATGCTCGACTCTGTCGAAAAGTCCATGCATTGCATGCTCTCAGACTCAATTTTCCAAGCCTTGCTAAAAACCGTATTGCAACAAGAGGGCTTGGAGTGTTCGCCAGGAAATGAGACTGGTTAGTTCTACCCTCAATCCTATCGAATCCATTTCCAAATACATCTTGTATCAAGGCATGGGATTTGTGCGCCGCCTGATAGAACGGGTGGACAAATGTTTGAAATGATGGAAAGCGCGGCTTAGTTCAAAGGTACTTTATCAACAGGGACAGTAATTAGAGTTGATCCGGTCAAGATTATAACGGCGGTTTAACTCGATTTGTCGTGCTCTGCCTGCCTATATCTAGATCCGCATTGCGCTCATTAGCTAAAGCTGGCATTTAATACTATGCCAAGTATATCACGAAATAGACTCCTTTCCAACCAGTTTTTCTTAGCTCCCTCCATGTTTTGCGGTTAAGTCGCCACCTATTTGGACATGATGATTCATCCCGGCTCTTCTTTGTCTGTTGCTATTTTTTGGCTGATTTGTACGGCTGCTATCTCAGATGTGCTACACTGTGCCCTTATCGATGATTGAATCGATGTTGCAACACCAACCAAAAGTCTGCATCAATCGACTTCTGGTTTCATGCAGTTGGTTGCTCACTTGGGCTTGGCGGCGACGGACTTCCAATATTGCAACCTTGTATCCCTACTTGTTTGTGATTTTACCGGTCAGTTGATAGGTCAGATGAAAGGCGTTTGATTATGGATGTGAATATGACCCCTTGCTTTATCAAGCCCAAAGACTCATTGGGGCCGTTGGTGTGCGGCTCAAGTCGGCTACTGTGTTATACACGGGGACAAAATAGATGCCGCTCCATCCCGTCCATCTGCGGTCGCAAAAGTCGTCCATACTTAAGCCATACCTGAAAGAGGCACAGGTCAACCATCAGAACTCTCTCTTCCAAGCCCCACCTCCACATCTGACATTTGTGTGATTAGACACTGCATCTCACCTATCGCGCCCACCCTTGAGATTTCAACATTTCGCTGTCTTGTTCCTCGTCAGAATGACCTCAAACAACGTCACTCCTCGAATCGTCGAACTGGCTGCAAAGATAAGCACCGCGGTTGCATAGCTCCAAGCAAATCTGTCAGCCCAGGGAGTGGAATCTCCATCCTTTGCCGAAAGCAGCCCTCCAACCCTCCCTTCTGATGTTCACCAACTTCGGGATGATGTGTTGGACGCAACTGCTGAGCTCCATGAGGTCCTGTTAGAGCCTCTGATGCTTATTTACAAGTTTGCCGGGGTAACTATCTCTCAGGCCCATCTAGGTCCCCAGAAACTGATGTCCTCAAGGTCTCGAATGTCGTCAGCATTGACTCAATTGTCCGATTCAAGATTCTGGACATGATCCCCTCAGGGGGCCGGGTGTCTTTTGAAGAAATCGCTGAGAAAACGAATCTCGACAAGGGGCTAGTCAGACGACTGCTCCGAAATGCGATATCCATGCGCATCCTGACAGAGCCCGAATCAGATATGGTGGCACATACCAAGACCTCCAAGTTCTTGGCCATTCCATATATAAGTTCTTGGGCCACATTTGAAAGCCACGACACGTGGCCAGCTATTGCTAAAGTAATAGATCTATTCATTTAAAGAAAGCAGAGCGTCATTCTAACACTGACGTGTTACACTAGGTCGGAGAAGCGATTGAGAAATGGCCGCACTCCGAAGAAGCTAATCAGACGGTGAATCTATACCATATTCCATATCTGACCCATGTGATACTCCAAATTCAAGCTACTTACTGGGACTAACACACACAGGCCTACGCTCTCGCGAACGGGGGAAAGTCGGTATATGAAGTCCTTGGCTCAGACCCCGAGGCGGCGATGCGTTTTGCGGGCGGGATAAAGTCCCTGGATCATGTCCCGGGTTGCGGAGACGCTTTTGTTGCCAAGTCCTACGATTGGGCTTCCCTCGGTGATGTACGCATCGTGAATGTGGGTGGGCAACGAGGATCAGTCGCCATAGACCTGGCAAGTAAGTATAAGAACCTCAAGCTGCTTGTCCAGGACGCGCCCCAGGTCATCCAAGGCGCCGACTCGACCGTCCCCGACTCATTGAAAGAGCGCGTCCAGTTCATGCCACATGAGCTCTTTGGAACTCAGACGGAGAAAGCAGACGTCTATTTCTTCCGTATGGTTCTCCGTTCTTGGGGCGACCAGTACGCCGTCAATATCTTGAAAGCTCAGATTCCTGCGCTCCGGCCCGGAGCAAAGATTCTCATTCAGGATGCGGTCCTCCCGGAGCCGGAGAGTGCTACTCCATTATGGAGACAACGAGTACAGAGGTATGAAACTATGGGATATACTAAGCCAACTCGCATGCCTACTGATAGAACCTCGCTAGGTCCGTTGACGTGGCGTTGAAGTTCTACTTCAACAGTTACGATAGACATTTAGACGAATGGAAAGCGCTTTTCGCTGCAGCAGATGAGCGATTTGCCCTTCATCGGGTAATTGAGACCGTGGACTCGAACTTGTCGGTCCTTGAAGTTCACTGGGATGTGTAGAATGGCATGCAAGTTCATCCAATCCGGGCCCGCGCTTGAACTAGTGGCATGATGGAATCGGTACTTTTTTTTCCCTAACCAACCTTTTATTGGCCTACAATTGGTTATGATTCGGGTCAAATCAGCAGTGGGATACGGCTTTCAGATTACGTCGACCAAAGTAGAAGCTTGGACTCCCTTCAAGAACAAGGGAAACATGCTTGGTACAATTCTCTCCCTTAGATCGAAGCCTACCTATGTGGTTTTCACCGAACTGATTTGCCAAAGCTACCCATAAGTCTGTATTCCTGAGATTTAAATGAATTATGCTTGTATTTTTCTTGTAACTTCTTCCATTTCTCGAACATATTCGATCTCACAGCCCCTCCCACCTAGTAATTGTTTGATCTTATGTGAGCTTCATTGCTGCGTCAATTATCGTCACCTCTCTCAGCCCGCTGATTCCCCCCTCTTCATTTCCCCTCTTCTGCACAAGGATAAGACATTTTAAGACTAAAAGGCATTACGGCCGTCTAATAAGCTCTTTGTACTGAATGATATCGAATCCGTCTAAATTCAGTTGACCATTTCAGAATATGATATTCAGAAAGTGGTACCTGGGATTCTCGAGAAACTAGCACCCTTTCTTGGACCGGATACGAGAATGAGATCAGGGAGGGTATAAAAAGTAGGAGGGGGGTAAATGGTCTGACGGGAGGACGGGAGGCCTGGCAGTAGGAACCAGATTTCAAGTTCACTGCATATTTCAACGACAAGATGTTGTTGCCAACTACCATGGCAGCCTCACCATTCTAAAATAGTACCTCCTATGCAACCCACCTTTATTCCTGATGAATCTCTTCACCATGCGGCCTCTCCAACATCATACAATAAAGGTCGGCCGTGCATACCATTACAGCCTTGGTCAGCTTTATACGATGGGCAAATATAGGACTCGATACTTTAACACGTTGGCCCCTTTCCAACCCTGCACGAAAGTTGGTATAGGGAAGGATGATTGCCGCAGCCGAGATGGGTAACATAACAGATTTCTAGCCTTGCCCAGTTTCAATTATGAATAAATAAAATGCTGGCTCATCTTTGTTGCGCTCCAAATATCTCGACCCATTTTCGCACATCACAGGTGTTCTACCTCGCCGGTCAAGCCTTTCTTACTGTGGCCTATAATTATAGTCTCGGAAAACACGACGGAGACCTTACCTTTGACCAGGCCGTCAACGTTTCCAAATGGATATGGATACATTATACTCCTTCACTTCTGTCTTCCGGGACGGCCAAAATCTCCATAACAATATTGCTTGTCCGGATCTTTGCTCCGAAACACGCATTGAAGTGGCCCCTGATAATCACAACGACACTATCAGTAGCGGCTGTTGCTCAGATCTCCACTGTATGGAACCAAATGAAACCCGTCGAAGGCTTATGGAACCCTACGGCAGGCGCAACTCTGCAGTTCAGCCCGAACATAGCCATGATTGAGGTCAACATAATAGGGGGTAATCTGTCTGCAATTATTGATTGAATATACGCATTACTGATTATGATCACCCCTTGAAGCTCTATTTGCGTTCGGAGATCTATTTCAAGTATTGGGCCCAGTTTTGATCGTCTGGAGGCATGGGCTTTGTACGCAGCTTAATAGAACAGGTGGACAAATGTCTGAACTGATAGGAAGCGCGGCCTAGTTTAAAGGTTCTTTGCCAATATGGACAGGAATTAGAATTGAGCTAGCGGACGTTGAACAGATTCGTCGTGCTCTGCCTGGTTTTATTTAGAACCATAGTGCGCTTATTAGCTAAAGCTGATATTCATTACCATGCCATTTATATCACGAAATAGGCTCCTTTCCACCCATACTATACATCGAGTCTTTTGCTCTCTCCATGTTTTTGGGGTCAAGTCGCCACCTAGTTGGATGTAATGGTTTATCGTCGATAGGATTGAAAATGCTAGCTCTAATATATAAATTAGTCTTTATTATAATCATCAAGTATACTTGAACATTGGCTCATTTGGGGAACTGAGCCAACCTCCATGCCATAGCCCAAAACGTTGTCACGGAACCCGTCGAAAATTATATCCAGAAATCTAAAACCACCCAAACAGTCCAGTAATCATAACCACGAGGATAGGTGGAAATAGCCAGTGCTGAAATTCCCCACCTCCAATAAGCAGTCGACTAACGAAACCATCGGTAATAGGCATTGCCAACGCTGCACACAGAGCCATTCCCATCAGACTCTCATCATTTGTCGTCCAGATGATGGAAATCAGAAGGCCGACAGAGATATTGCGAATGCCCCAGATTCGCATAAGCGCGTGGCTGAACTTCCTGGCTAGAGGCTCGCTGGGCACAGGAAACTCTAAATTTCTGAGGTGCGCATTGGGACGAAATGAAGCGTTGGCGCCAAGCCCGACTAGCATGAGACCCAAGCCAAGGCTACCGTTGAATATGATAGGGTGCGACATAGCATTAAATGTCAAAATATGACAGATCTGCGAAGATGGTGCAGTTATTAACTGGCTATAGTGTGGAAGATCTCAGATGATGCAGCAATATTCCCACTAAATATTATAGGCGGGCATAATCTGAGTGTTATAAAAGAGACCAATTTCCTAGTCAAGAAACGATGTATTACTTAGTAAATATAAGAATAAGCAAATCGTAGGTACGGCTATATATCTTTAAGCAGAAAGTCCTATAGAACTTTTGATTGATAATCTACTTTCAGCTTACGCAAGCACAAATTAATGTTATGTGAAAGTGAGTCTAAGCTAATGCAGCTAGTGGTGTTAGATGACTTAACTCCTAGCTCCGAGAAAGGTCACGTGGTGGTACACGAATGCATAATCGTGCTGACAGGCAAGGCCCACATACATTCGGGAGTAGCCGATGCGGTTGACGGACTCAAGGAGATTGCTTATGATGACGGGAGAGAGAAAGGTGGCGTTGAGGTGGAGGTCAAGGTGGGTGATGTATTTGTGATACTTGCGGGTATGGCGCTCAAGACATTTGGCGCGCAGCCAGAAGCCGACCTCAACCTAATGACGCTGGGCCAAGGACATGATATCAAGGCGCAAGACAGGCGAGGCACACTTGAAAGTTGAATTTGAATGAGTTTACAATGATGGCATATTCCCGACTGATTGCGGAGATTGGGACTTCGCCGCAGGTGGCGAGAATGCCTATTTAGAAATTATATGAGAATGGCATGCCTCTAAAGCGAGATGCGCTAGATAACTGCTTGACTCGAAAAGCAAGAAAGATCAGAGGCGATTCAAAAGGCGATGCGTTGGCATCACCAGGCAGGGCCGGAGTAGGAAAATTCACTTGGCATCGTCACGCAAAGGCCTAGCGGGACGTAGAGACTCGCGAGGGAAAAGTCCAGAGATTTGCTCAAACCTCACGTGGGGTCAATCAGTGGTGTGAATATTCCGGTCAGTACAAACATGGTGCCTCCTGCGTTCCGCTGGGTAGAAACGACGCAGATGTTCACTTGTCTGATCTGTGTGACCCTGGCTATCCTATCAACAGAGCCAAGACCCCTTGTCCTGACTCGCTAGCGAGCAAATGCAAAAGCAATTCCATGTGTATAAATATCTCTTTCTTTCGAAGTGTGTGTATATGTGTACTTTCATCTGTAGTGTCCAACCCGAACTACTCCTTGAGAGCCGCATGGTTCCTCGACCTGTCCAACGATTCAGATACCAATAGAGCAGTGAACATTTTGCTCTTGTCTGGTACAAGCCAGGATAGCCTGTGTCACATCATTCTCGGAGCAAAATTGGCTTGTCCAGAAATCGTAGTGAGCTCCTCCGTCGGGATTACGACTGCATCCCCATCTGGTTATGACGCCGCAACGTCCTCGGAGATTGTCAAGGCAACCTTGGCCACATTGTTTGTTATATGTTGAATCCTTGGCGACATCAACCAGCCATACGGTGCTTCCAGCGCTGTCACCGCGACTGCTCTTACTGCCATGACAATAATTGCCATTCACCATGACTGGGTAAATGATTAGAGCGAAGTTGAGAAGTTTTTGAAAGCTCATTGTGGTTTTGTTGAGTATGAATCAGGTACAGTAAAGTTTCAAGATTTTCGTGGTCTTTGCCCTTCATTCATCATAGTTCTGGGTCTCGTCCGATTTATAATCGATTCAATAATTGTTAACTACATATTTGATTTAATTGAATACTAGAATCCTTGCACGTGGTAAGATAATGTCCGTGTAACGTCGCAGCTGGACCTTCATTCATTGCTTTTCCAGTCCGTTCTCTATTCTCTACTGATCAGGCGACCAATTGGTTCATCATGCTGTCGTTCTAGTACTGTATTCATGCGGTGCGGGGAACACTTTGCAGCAAGCCATGAATAAATAAATTTGTTGGAATTACTATTGTCGATCTCGTCTGAGGACTTGATTGTTGGCACGGCTAAATAACTCGCCACATACGAAAAGGTGCATAGACATTCGTCGATAGTGTATGCAGTATCCTAGATGAATGATCGCATTGTAGAACAAGGCTGCGAAAGAAAGGCCTTCTGACTAGATGACGGAACCCCAATACAATTTAACGAGGGAAGGACTATGAGTTTGAACTATCAATCTCGTTCCTGGAGCTGATTTCGCAAAGGTTTTGTCTTGAAAAGGAAACAAGCTGGTACAACAGATAAATATTATCAAAGCCAGTTGACCTGGTAGACGACTAGAGGTAATTTTCATCATGATGTACTTGGTAGAAAGCGGCAAGCAACGTAATGCTGAGAAGGATTGGTTCACACGCAACAGGACCCCTAAAACGACAATATCTCCTCACAGTGAGGTAGTTCACTGTATGGACGAAAGCTATCGCCCATTTTTCGATTCCTGTCCGGCTGATCAAGAAATACAGGCTGGTCAAAAGTGCCCCAAACCCGCTGGATAAGGCAGCTGCCAAGAATTCAAGATCACAAGAAGTGCATAGCTTGATCTGCCTGTATACGCCTGTAATGTTTCCACCGTTGGCAAAGCGTGGAGCCATTTCTGACATCCTGAAGTGGGCAGTAGCGCACTTTCCCGTGCGGATAAAACTCCAGCGAGAAACATACAACCACTAAAAGCCCCTGCATGTGACACATTGAACTTTGGCAGCTCCCGCTCTCAACCGGTCACGAGCCCGATCCGCGGCACGGTGATTAAATTCGGCCCAGGCAGTGGAATGTCGGTGGACGTCTTGGCTCAGTCTGATCGTATCGAATCGAACCCAAAATCAGCGGCGGCACTGTGATAGCGCGTTCAGGCGCTGGGTCTCAAGGATACGTATAAATTCGTCCACCTTTAACAGTAACAAGCTGGAATCGAAGAAGCAGATGGATCTTACCTGATCGCTCTCAGATGTGTATAGACAGTAGTTGGTGTCAGCTTATCTCACCACTTTAGCTTGCGAAGGCCATCATGCGTCATTGCGATGATGAGACCAGATATCTCTCTTAGGTATATCCGCGAAGCTCACCTCAGTATCGTCTACAAAGACCAACGTTGTACAGTATTTACGGTTGTCTGTCTTGCATCCATCGCTCCTGATCGCCGTATTTGAACACCTAGAACATGCGTTTTATCCACAAACTGCCAAGAGAAGAAGCAAGTTCCTTGAGGGCCGCGCTCCCCTGGAACTCCTTGTGGGCCCTGACAAGCGTCAGCCCCAGGTCGACCATAAGGCCCAGGAGGCCCCAGATTACCTGTCCCAAGCCGCCCATCGTTACCTGCACGTCCATCTCGCCCGTCTCGTCCATCTCTTCCATCACGACCTTTGACAAAGTGATTTTAGCAATCATCATCAAAGACAAGCTTGAGGCGGGAGATTTCCGCTTTGAAAGAGAACCCTTGATGTCCGGAACACCAATGTCTGCTCCAAAATGGCCTAGGAATCGTAAATAGTAGTAGAAAAGTATACCTACCGGGCTGGCCCTGTAATCCATGCAATCCTTGTTGTCCTTGTGGTCCATATGGTCCATCAGAGGCGCGGATTCCATCACGATCAGGCCGCCCTTCTGGCCCATCTGCTCCCTGAGGTCCCTGGCGACCGCGAGGTTCTCTACGTGCCACTTTGGACCTGCCACAAAGACACCATGTTAAGAGCACGACCAAGATACTAAGAAGAACACCAACCACCGTCAATGCTGTCTCGAGTTGTCCATTTGAGTCGTTTGTGGTGACATGAGCTGTCACTTCGGTTTGTTGTGCTGGTGGAGAGGTGTCTGCAGTGATATATCCCAATGTCAGAGCACAACGCGGGTACATACAGCCAACGGCTGCACTCAGTTGAGAAGTGGATATCATCACCGTATCCCACCTATGCCCTCCGTCGAGGCTCAGAAGGCAGCAATTACTTTAATTCAATCTCGGTGTAGTTATCCCTGGCATCCGGACTGAAGTATTTATCGTTGTTTCATCAGCTCGTAAGTACTCAAATACTGATCAATGGCTCTGAGAACAAACATGTGGCACCTCACGATGTAAACTATCGATTTCATTTTTCAAAGGTTCTTTAAACGTCCAAATCCAGCCGCAATTCAGAACCTTCAGAATCATCCTTGAGCACTAATGTTAGCTCATCAAAAATTTCCAAACACACACACAATGGCTTTTCGAGGTAGAATACGGACACGACGCAATCGTTCTCTATGCCCTTCTGTCAAGATGTAGGAATAAGTGGAGCGCCTCTCCACACATGTATATATCTTTGACCATCCAGCCTCTGTTGGATGTGAACAACTCAACTAATACAACAACTATTACCCATACCTATCATATCTTTTCACACCTTCGTCAGATACCCTAAGTTCTAATAGTGAGTAACACTACAGAGGCAGCGATGTGGCTGCAGAGATGAAGTCACGGGGTCTCCAAAGTGGGCATTGATGCGATTTCTTCCCCGGATACGTGCAATTCGTGCTTGGATGTTGTCAGTGAGGGCGGCAAGGCTGCAAGCGTACAGTTTCTTGAGCCTTTGAGGCGGCCGGGCATTGAATTGCACTATACAAATGTAGTTGATATTTTGCACGACCCAGTAAGTCCCTCTAATGACCAAACACTATAAGTTGCTGGCAGTCCCCGTTCATCAAGCTTCTTGAATCCTTTGTCAGAGATTGGACTCCGACAGCCTGGAGATCAGGTGCCTTGAAGGCTGTTCAGTTTGAGGTCTATTCGGGAGGGCTGGGTGTCATTGATCAGGCAATCTGGAATCACCGCGACAACAAAATATCTGGAGAGGGGGTTGTCATCGGAATATGATTACTCGACTACAGGAAACATACATTGTATTTAGTAAGCTGCTTCGTATAGTTGCACAAGCAAGGAGTGAGTAACTAGTACTTTCAGTCTTTAGAATATTTGGGCGGTCATGTCTCGCCGGTTATACGAGCTACGCGTCCCTCTTTACGCTTCTGCTCTCTACTTCAACATGTTCCGCAGTTCCAGATGCAATGGCCTTTTCAGCTAGTGCCTCTTCACGAGGCAGCAAGGTGTCTTGTCCTTCAAATATTCTCGCCATTTCTTCGAGGCTATGACCTCGAGTCTCTGGAAAGGTGAAGAAGATGACTACACCGCTCCCAGCAATAATGAACACAAATACCAAGTAGTATTTCCATGCAATCGCCTCGAGTGCAATAGGGTTGATGAAGATGTTGAAGAAGACGGCTGTGGCAGTCGAAACCCACATAAGAGAGAGTCCACGTGCTCGCAGTGTGTAGGGCCAAATCTCGACGGGGTACGCAACCATCAAGGGCGTGAATGCCAACGAGAAGCACCCGTACATGAGAAAAAGAAACGGTACAACGGCTGTACCGACCGCTGGTGACACTCCCTGCGCAAAGACGGCCGAAAGTGCCGTGATGTGAATATAAGCAATAAGCATGCTTCCAATTGCGGCAAGAAACAAGGGACGACGTCCAACACGATCAACGTTAAAGGCACCCATCAAGGCACATGCTAGGTTCCAAATTTGCAAGAACCCATTGATGAGAGTTTGCTGCGTAGTGGTGGTGATGCCAATGGTATCGAGCACTGGTACCAGGTAATATCCAGCAACGTTTTGACCTGCCCATTGGCTGAATATTCCAAGGTAAACGGTGATGAAGATTCTTTTCCGATTACCAGGAGTATTGAGTGTCTGCCTCATCGAGCTAGTTCTCGAGGACTCGCGATCCATCTGAATACTTTTCGTGATTTCCTCGAGCTCAAACGTTGCCAGTGGTGACGTCTCATCATCTTCGGCATGGTACTTGACAAGAAAGGCGCGAGCCTCTTGGTACCGTTCCTTCGAAGCCAAGAAGCGCGGAGACTCGGGTATCATGAACAGTCCTGGAAGAACTATGACAGGGAGCAGCAGTTGGAGTGCCGATGGGATGCGCCAGCTCCAGGAATTGTCGTAATTGCGTGTACCAAATGTGGACCACGCGGCGACAAAAGAACCTATGGATATTATGAGCTTTTACAGGCAATACTTTGGCCAGATTAAATAACTTACCGACATACCATCCACACATGTAGAGGCTAGTGAACACTCCGCGATGAGGGGGGTATGCCGTCTCAGTCATGAGTAGAGGCACACTTCCGCCAAAAAAGGCACTCGCAATGCCGACAACTACCCGTGAAGCCACAAATACTGGTATGCTCGTTGCTCCTGTCTGCAGGCCAACACCAAGGCAGAGGAAGAAATAGCCCATGAAGATTGTTGGCTTGCGGCCGTGGCGATTGGTTGACCATGCAACAATGGGGAAAAATATGATGGAGCCGAGATTTTGGGCGCCGCTAATAAAGCCGAGCCACGCGCCAGTCGGGTGCTCCATGAAGGACAGCCAGTGTGGGAGGGCTAACAATCCATTGAGCATTGTTCCATCATATCCATTTCCCGATGATAACAGAAAAAGACTCATGAGGCAAAAGTTGAGGACAACTTGATTTCGTTTCCTGTACCACGGCTTGTCGTTTGCTGGCAGAACTGCGGCAAGTTCTGGGCCTACGCTACTGAAAGCGCTGGAAACCATGACGACGACAAGTAGCAGTGCTGTTCAAGAAGCTAGCGGTCAAATTATGAATGCAATCGTACACTTGAGATTGAATAGACACTTGAGGATGAGTCAATTATATACTTGTCAACAAGGGAGAGCGAGCGGGGAAACAAATACATACCTTTGGGGTAGGCCATATGACCGTAAACTCGCGAGTGACTGAGCCTGAATTGACTAAACCATTGAGGATATAGCTTGATGTTTCGAAATATCCCATAAGGCCTCATTGTCCAGCCCGTGCACCCCCACAGACGCGTTTGTTGGATAGAATGCGCTATGCCACATACAATGTCGTTTGTCGCCAACACGACACGCCAGTGTAGGAATGAGACTATGCGCCAAGTTTTGCGCGAATAATCATGCCTTGTTGGGTTGGACGAGCTGGTAATCATTAACCGCGCTCTGAAATTCTTGCCGTTTGACCATTTTCCGGGTATTCGGGATGTGTTGCCCGTGCTGGCGAGGCATGCCCCAACTTATCAATTGGAATGCCGTCAGGAGTCCTGACAGAATGTTTTCCTAGAACTCATCAAAATTGCTCGTGGTAAAACGTTTATCCTCTCATCCAATGATGAACAATAGGCCAAGCCTTGCTATAGCTGGGATGAGGGTACCTTTGAGGGGTAACTGGGGTTAGACGTCCTTTTTCCACGGTAGATTGTTGCAAACCATCATACTCTAGTGGAAGTTACCGACATACTAGATAATGCCAGTCGTTGATTTGATCAGCGGACAAGCGCGTATCTACATTTCCGAGTGCTACAAAGATGAAAGTGAAAGCAAGGCCGAGAGCGAAAGCGAAAGCGAGAGCTAGATCTACCGCATTCGTTCGTGATTCGAACATCAGTCGCAGGCTTGATGCTCAGGAGCATGTCGCCATGACACATGAAGGGGCCTCGCCTACTGCGTGCTTGTCTGAGGAACGAAATCCCCAATTATTATTGCAAAACCTTTACCCTAGTCTCTAGCTTCTTTATTCGACTGGCTCTGAATGAAATAACAGCATGTAGTTTACCATTATATAATCTCAGCCAGCGGCAATGCAAGAGGTAAGAATAGTGTTACTCAACTCCAAGAACAAATACCGTAGCAGTTGAGATAAGCTAGGGTAGAGACGGACAGGGTTTACTCGGCAATTGCTTACTCCTGAGCCACTTGAAATGGTCCAGAATTGTCAAACCAGGTTGTGGCTTCCTAATGTACTTGATATTTGTCTTGTATTAATATATAATGCATTATGCCCGGCCCTTGGGTTCGATGAGGTGCAGACTTATTCAGATGACAACGGCTAATCTCCGGGATCCCCGCATTATGCACATGCACCCTTTTGCAGAAGAACAACCATGTGTTGGCGATCAAGAAGTGTCAGGTGGTATCCCGTCGATGAGAACCCGGTCTTGTTATGAACGGGATTCCCAGAGATTAGCCGCGTATTACCTAAACAAGCCTGCACCTTGACGACCCTTGACCTCGACGATTCAATCCCTGTAATAAGTGGTGTAAGTTGATGTTCCACTTACATTCTTCCAATGTTCACGAGGGTAGTCTCATGGGCTGTGCTGACCCTGGTTTTGCTAATGCCACTGGTGACTCGATATGAGAGCGTACGCAACATGGCAGTCGAGCTAGCAATGATTGGGGCCCCAATGATTGCAGGGTCAGCCTCAGCTACGGCCCAGAGTACCATGGACCGAGAACAGGGAACATTGAGTAATCAGTATACAACCATGGGAACTCGACACGGGATTACACTAGGAACTTTGACGGGGCGTTCTGAAAATCATCATTCCAGAAGCATCAATTTCTCGTCGGTAAATTGTTCACGTCTTGCTTCGGACTAAACAATAGCATCCCATTTTCGTCCAACGCGGGAGCTGCAGGGGGCCTAGCTCGTTCCGGCGTAGGGCTGCCAAAGTATTGGGCCCGTGCGTTATTTCCTCGTCTCTTTTCCCCATCCAAGTTTGTCCCGGCTTTTTCAAGTGCATTACTATTCGTCACACATCCGGCGCACCACAAAACAAACACCTTCATCTCGTCTGCCCTTGGATAACGAAAATGGGCGCCTACGACGAAAACACCATCACTCAGCTAGTTACAGAGATATACCAGCTCCAAATCAAGCTTTGCGCTATTGAAGCGGACCAAGTCGCTTTCCCACCAGATGGGGGCCATGATATCAACGTGGAACTCTGCGAATCGCTACACTACAGCCCAGCCGTCATATCCTTGATGAAAAAGTTGCCGTATCCCAAGAAAAGAGAAATGCAGTTGGATATAAGCCTGCTTCCCCAAGGATTTCCCTTGGTATATACCGACGATTTAGATATTGAGCTCGGTCGTGATCCCCAGAACGCGCCCTCTGGTGGCCTCGAACCCCTTCGTCTCGACTTTTTATTGCCCCAAGATGTTGCGCTTACGCTCATGTATACCCGAGACGGTGTATCGCACATACTAGATACGCAAGATGGCAAGCTTCTCCCCACTCCTGCTCTGGCTTGCTTGTCGCTAATGTTCCAATTAGGCACAATTCGGCTCTTTCGCCCACAGGGATACCCTCCAGCTTCCGAGGGCTACCAGTATGAGCGCCCGGATGATACGTTTCATTACCGTAATTGGCCCCCTCAGGATGCCGAGACGTATTTGCGTGATCTTGTCAACAATATCAAAACACTGAAATCTATACCCTGCAGCCTATATCCCTACTATTTCGATATTGACGAGCCAGATGTGGTAGGTTACGTGAATCCATTGTTATCTACGCTTTGATCTGGCCGGACAGGTTGTGACTCACTGGAATAGCAATCTGAGATGAAGGAAATTATCGAGAGCTACGGGTGGCCCGATCAATTTCGACGAGATGAATGGAAATCACGCATGGAAGAGCACTGGCAAGACACTATGTGATTGCGCATTCTCAGCACAGCGTGACGAAGTGACCGAGGTACCAGATGTCGACGATGCAAACGTTTCGTCCACCGCAATTTAGGCTTGTCGGCAATATCCAGCCGGCGTAAAGATCTGATGGTTGGCTTTGGGAACACTCCGGTATGTGGTACTATGATCCCCCTTAGATGCTGTGGAAACGAAGATAGTGAATAGAGTAGTGACTGTCACTAGCAGAATCCCTTATCATGAATAAGTTTCCATTGAGTTAACTAGTCCGAAATCCCAATGTTGATTATAATGACCGTGAAGTGAACCAAGTGCATTGGCAATATTAACCTTGCATGTTCTTACTAGAAAATTACCCAAGGTTATCTGGCTAGTCAAATTGACTACCTGCTTATGTAGTCTGTCTCAATAGAATCACGTTTCCCTAAAATCCCGTCTTTATACACCCGTCACCTTGGCCATGGCGGTGGGCTTTGATCCCGAAACGGCTTTCATCGCCGTAGGCGTGGCAGGCCGGTCGCGCGTTGGAATGGCTGGGGGAGTTTGCGCCACTGACAGCTCGTCATCCTCATCTTCAAAGGCAATGTCCATGGCCGCAGCTTCCTCGAGGCAACCAGCCGACTCGCAGTCAATGATGCCCAATCGCTCCCACAGCTCTCTGCCCGTCGCCTTTCGGCTCACGTCGCCGTCGTTAATCAGCACCTTGTCGGGCGAAAAGTCCTCAATGTCGTCGGGAGCAAACAGGTCACCGTGCCCGCTTGCTTCCTGGAGGATTTGCTCCAGCATTTGCAACTGCACGTCACGCTTGGCCGGCGATGTACGGGGCGCGGTCTTTCCGGCAGTCAGACTGGACGGGATGGCGCTTTTATACGCCGTTGAGTCGTGGTGGTTGTTTGCGTTGCCGCCGTACCAGACATCATTGGGCAACAGGGCAAAGCCAGAGTCATCCGTGATGATGGGAAGGCAAGAGTTGATGTCCAGGTTGTCGGAAGGGAGATTGGTATATTGCATGCTCATCTTGTTCAGCGTGATGGTGACAGACATGGTTTCGTAACATGTCAAAGCGCTAATTCTGCCTCCTTGAACTGTGGTGCTCCTACCGGGATTTCCGCAAATGCCAACCCAGAGGTTCCCAGCGCCCGAGTTTTCCCAGAACGGCAAAAATCGGATCCATTGATTGTAGTTGGTCTGGGTTGAGTCGAGAAAGTGCTTCGGGGGATATTCGTCTCGCGCACACTTATTGTATATTCCAGCAGGTAGATTTGGAACCCAGAGTAGCCAGGCTCTAATGTGCGAGTCTTCATAAGCCTTGACAGATAATGTCTTTTTCTCCCCCCATTGATCGTAAGGGCAGACCAACTCGCGATTCGAAGGATTGTTTACTCCAACAGAACTGTAATGTCCGCAGGCTTGTGCGTAACGATTGCCGTCGCATGTAACATGCTTTGCTGAGCTGGTTGTAGTGAACATGGTTGTCGTATCTGTCGTTGTCGTCGTGCAAGTGATAGAAGACGCGGTTGGATAGTTTGAGTTCATGACTGGAGACCAGGCGGCAACGCCCAATCCTCTGTAAGTCTGCCAGGAGCCTGGTATCTCGTTGAGGATGTAGTTTGGGGAACCTATCATAACGGCCAGGCCCGAAAGCATGTAGTCACACTCTTCAGAGGTCCCTACGAGGGCGTCATCGGCGCTGGTGCCCTGGTACTTTTCCACGACGGATGAGTCGGACTGACGAATAGTGATCCCGATGCCATTAGAGAAGGGGGTAATTATGTCTGATTCGCATTCTTGGACGCCGCTTGTTGTCACAGATCCGCAACAATAGCTAGAGAAATGACCGGCCTTGCAGGATGTAGATGCGCCGCCAATGTGCGTGTTCTGGCCAATGAGGGCATATCCCGAAGGACACGTCTGCTTGCAGTCCTTCGGCTTCCCGAACCACGAACAGTCCTTCAGCTGCACGTCAGATTCAACGCATAAAGCACGATTGTAGCCTTTGCCTCCTCCATGGCATCCGTCACCAGTGTAAGCCATGGTATCGGCGTCGAAAATCTTGCCGTGTCCGGTGGTCACCAATGTAAATCCAGCAGCGCATTGTGGATCGGATGAACAATCAGTCCAGTACGAAACAAGGCCAATATTGTTCTGCTGAGTGATTGCTGAGAGCTTTGACAAGGCGAATGTCGGATTGGAGTCCACATCGTCTCCCGTAAGCTTGAGACCTGTAGCCTGCAGGTTGGAAACAGATGTGGAAGTGCTGGGGTCATCCAAATCCAAGGCCCAGACCATTGTGCCACCCAGACAGTGGCTATTTGCGTAGTCTTTCTTGAGCGCCAAAGTTTCTTCATCATCGTATGACACCCTAGACTAACATTTAGCTACACCTCGAATAACTAGTCAGGAAGGAAACCAACCATTGATCCGACTCCCAGGTCATGTACTTCACTGCTGCATCCTTATCCAGCGTTGGAGTCAAGTCATACTCGGAGATAATATCCTGGATCTCGGCATTCGAAAGAATGCCTGAAGTTCCGGTACAAGGCCCGGCGGTACCACCGCCAGAGAAGGCACACCCTGGGGTGTTGCAGCTTGAGTCAGAGAGGGTGAAAGACCTTCCATAGAAGGCAAGCCCAAGAACTACCTTGGAAGGCGAAATGTTGTTTCTCCAAAGCAGGTCCAGCCCTTCAGTGATCTCTGCGACTCTAATGTTAGTGGGCAACATCAAATGGATATATGAGCTCGACAAGACCTACCCGTGAGATTGGTGTGTGGTTGAACGATGGCTTGAGTATAGGGACTGTTACCATCCCACGTTCCATGTATATCGTAACTCATAAAGTTGAACCAGTCGACCTATGTTACATTAGGCTCATCAAACCGACACTCAAGTTTCCGGAATCACCTACATATGGCTCCATCCTGACAACGTCAAATCCTTGGAGATACCCTATACAAATCAGCACATCGGAGATGAACCCAACAAGAATTTTACTCACAGTACGAAGAAGGTAGTGTCACAGATATGCCATAATTAGACCCAAAGACAACCTTGAGCTCTTGCAAGAATGACACGAAATTTGCTGTATCAGCTGCCACGCCATCTCTGTCAGATGCCGCAGGGTATTCCCAGTCAATATCTGCAGCTTAGTCAGATAAGAAGTTTCAGATCTTGAATAATGACCTACCAATGCCGTCGAATCCATACGTTTTCATGAATTGGAGGGCAGAATTAATGAACACGGCACGGTTAGTAGCCGTGCTCACCATGTCCGAGAAGATCTTTCCTCCAGCGGCCCAGCCCCCTACGGAGATGAAGGCCTTCAGCGCTCCGTTTTGCTCTTTAAGCCCAGTGAACAAGGGATATAGCTCTGCGTCAAAGTCATTCATCTGAGAAATGGTATAGTCATCTCCGATCAAGGCAAATCCGTAGTTGAGATGTGTCCAAAGAAGAGCATTCATATTTCTGGGCGACCAGGAATCGCATGTCCGTGTATACGACCAGCTCTCGTAATATCCAATCGTTCTCTTGTCGCTTGAGGATCCGGAGCATGACCTACTAGGCCTGAGCTGTTGGTTCATGATGAGGATTTGAGGAAAACGTACGGCTCAACGACATCGTCACATCCTGCTACACAGCCCGTTCCGCAAAAGTCAGAGGTTGTTCCGCAGTATCCATACTGGGAACAGCAGACGTTGAGGGGGCAATCAAAGCTGTCAGCAGCAGCATATGCTATCAATTTGGGTGAGTCCTTGGCCGCAGGTTCTGGGAGGGCTTGTACTCACGCCCGCACTCGGCAATCGCATCACAAGAACTTGTGCAGTTTCCGTCACCACAGAAGGAAGGCCCAAAGCCGCAGTAACCGCTGGTGCTGCAGCAGCCCTGGGCGCAGTCCGATGTGTCTGAACATGTCGATTGCGCCCACGCCAAATAGAAGAATTGAAAAATTACCGACGCCGTGAGAACAAGTCTCAGGCTCTTGGAATGTGCCATCAGCATTATTGTTGTTGATTGAGCTGGTGTGCCATGAGATGTCATCTGAGCTGCAAGATGCTTCCTTATCAAGACAATGATGCTCCAACCGATTTGTCTTTGAAGCCAACAAGCCGGACCAGGGTTGTGATGGTCCCAGTCACTAAGCAAGGACGGGGCAGCATCCTGCGTTGACCCATATCATGCACTGACTGGGATAATTAGACCCAAGAAGAAGGCCGCTCCGATAGCGCATAATTGATTGGGGAATGATTGTGTACACAAAGCGGCGGCTGTACTTGCAGATGTCCGGCTCTTGGACTGTAGAAATATTTCCCTCAAGCTTATCATGTTCCAGCCTCAAGGATTCAGTCATGAAAATCGATATATTGGACCCACAGCCCAACTTCGATCAGGGTCGCCAGGTAGGGCTATGAACTAATGCAGGAACCTCTCCACTAACCTAGGGCTCAGTAGGTACGTACGTAAGGTTAGTTGCCTTCCGGCCCGATCCATAATCTTTTTTTTTCGGCTTCGAGTATCGGAGGGGCCTTTTTTCCCCCCCACGTGCCGAAAGCTTGACTACACTAGCTCGGGCGGCTATTTCCTTATTTCTGGGCCCATGGAAGTGGTGTTGCAACCTATTCACTGCGGGCCTGTACTCCACCTGGAATGGTGTAATTTCGATATTGATTAGGGTAAACCGATTGAGTCAGGAAACCGGTTCGAGTACACTGCCGCGGATAGACCATAACGCTTAACTGTTGGGTTTTCGAACGGAAATTGTGTCCGTTGGCGGCGAAAACACACCACGAGGCTGGTAGATTGAGCTCTGAATACCTAGCATCTATACTAGCGCCAAGGATTGATTGTACGGGGCTGCTGCCAGATCGTGTCTAGCGCCTTTCTTCCTTCCAAGTTCCTGCACAGTAGAGGTTGCTTCGCATGATCAAGGTCAAGTGTGATGAACTGATCTCAGACGTGCTGAGCTGTTAGCTAGTGAACCAATCCCAGGCCATGACGATTCTGGCTGCATTATTGACCGAGAATAAACCTTCATTTCCCGTAGTCCATCAGGGACGGAACTATCAGGTAAAGCAGGGTTTGGCAAATGGGCACCGATGGGTCGGCATGCATCGGGCGCATTTGCAGCAGCTACCATGACCTATCATGAATATCCCAAATGTTCAAGATCTGTAGGTTTTCTTGTTCTTTTTGTTAGCTGAGTCTGTCTCCCACACCCAAACTTCCTAGACCGTCCTCTCTAGCCTTTAAAGAAAGCAGGGAGTGCCTCGAGGCTGAGCTTGGTGTTGAACAGCTTTAGTGACTCTATTCGCAACCATCGTACCATCATGAGGCTCCTTATTGCAACTTTTGGCTTCGGGCAGCTGGCAGCGGCAAGCACCACATTGTGGAATGGCTTGCAGTCGGTTTTTATATCGGCTAACATCACTACTGCTTGTGATGCCGCTTTCAACACTTCTCTGAACTGCCCGGAAACTGTTTTGCAGTACCTGCCGTCGTCTATCCAAGCCGTTGGTAAGATCTTCTCTCTACTTGCCTAGCGTAACTAACCTCATTAGGCTGGAACACGTCGACACTCACCAGCATGTGTACCTCTGAGTGCGAGGCATCACTGGGAGATCTTGCGGATGCTGTTGCGACTGCCTGTGGTAATGATTTAAGACTTCCAATGGGTGGTCAAAGTATTTCATACGAGGAGATCGTCGACCTCATTCAGTACAAATTTGGACTCGTATGTTTGGCCGACGAAAGCACAGGAGAGTTCTGCTCAGACGTTGAAGCTGGGTGAGATTCCCGTCAGGACCTTTTCTCTTTGCAACACTGACCAAGGGTAGCTGGAACATTACAGAAATGGTCCTCCTTGAAGAAGCCACTTGGCCCACTTACACAAACAAGTGTTACTACACCGCCAATGGTGGCGATTGGCTACCCCTCGTCGACTATGACAACTCGTGCTTAAATCCGTTTGACCATTCCGTGATATATACCAGTGTTGACAACCTGGTGAGCCTTGGAGGAGCCAAGACTGCCATCGAGTATTACAAGGAGCTGCCAGATCCAATCGATGACGATAATTATGGGTGGAGCGAACCACTTGATTTTGATGAGTACCCTCTTGAGATTCAATGCTCTTCTTGCTTCTTGTTTGTTCTCCAATGTAGATCCACGAGACAGAGCACTTGACTAAGCAACACACAGGAGTCGCTTTGAATACGGTCTCACTAATCAGTGGGGAGACGCTTGGGAGTAAGCTATGTCCCCTACTTGTCCCCAAATGTGAACTGACGTATCTAGTGAAATAACGGAGCAAGTCTGGGCCAATATGAAGCTAAACTGTGACCTCGACAAGACGATTTCACCTGCTATCAACCTGACAGGCAGCGGAATGTGAGTTGCCCAATCGCCGAATAGCTGGTTTTGGCTGATAATCTATAGCATCAATGGTTCGTTCAACTACGAAATCACACCAGTATCCACTTCGTGTCCACAAAACCTCACCATTGGTGCCACTCGAATGACTTGTCAGGAAGTGGCCGTCAGCTTTGGCGTTCCTCTGAGTGGCATTCTAGGCCTCAATAACGCTATATCGTGCGCCGGTGTTCAAAATCAGGACCTCTGCTCCCCCTTGTCTTGCCCCATTGGAGTTGTTAACTCTTCGGTAATACCCGTGATATACGATAACCTTGTCGATGTTGCTGTTTATGTAAAACAGTTCGCGAATATCACAATGACACAGTTCAAGACATGGAATCCTTATTTGTTTTCGAACACTCTCAAGAACGGAGAAGCTGTCTGTGTTGGGTACGTGCCGCGTGATGGCTGATTCCTAGGTGCCGTCTTTGGAAGATTTCAAAACCATTGTTAATCATCTCGATGACGGACGCTTGGATTAGACCTTGCTCACATTTGCCTCACCTTGTACCAAACTTGATATCTTGATACTGACGACTGAATTAGTCCTGAAGGGGGCGCGTACGTCCCTCCAACAGCAACGGCTGCAGTCCCTAGCGTTTACACCACCACAGCGTGAGTTTCTCATGTCTTTTGTTCCCATCAGATTTGTGTGTACTGTATAGAGACTTACAACTTCTTAAAGGACACCCTCGAATCCTACGCCTACAGGAACCATCGATAACTGTGGTCTTTACTACACAGTACAGAGTGGGGATTATTGTGACTTGTTGTGCCTCCAGTTCTCCCTGACATTCTCCGACTTCATCAGTAAATTCAAAGGAAATCCTGCTCATACGAACCAAGCTAACAACAATAGATATGAATCCTTCAATCGACTCTGCCTGTTCTAATCTCCTCTTAGGAGATGACTATTGGTAAGCGATCTTTTTTTTTTTGTTTTCACTACGAATTCTAATAGGAACTTCAGCGTTGCTCCGGTGAATGGCACCACAGTCCCAGCCGTCACCACAACCATGTCGCCATCGGGTTCCTCGAGCTCCAGCACAGCCACAATGGCTACATCACAGACTAGTACTTCCTCTACAGCCACGTATGCCACACCTCCGGCTGCTACAGTCTCTGGGACGACGGCCGAGTGTGAGCAGTGGTACGTCGTACAATCCGGTGACACTTGCTCCACCATCGACGCCCAATATGGCATCACTCTGGAAGAGTTCCGGGCCTGGAACACCTATGTAGATAGTGCCTGTGACAACATATGGCCCGACTACGCGTACTGCGTAGATGGACCCGCGTTGTCTGCAACTTCGACGGCTGCTGCAACTTCTACCACGACTACATCTACGGGTGTTGTCACACCTACACCGACGCAGGCCGGCATGGTGAGCGGGTGCACTGAGTTCTATGAAGCTCAGACAGGTGATGGATGCTACGATATCGCGACATCGTATGGAATTACTCTCGATGAGTTTATTGAGTGGAACCCAGCGGTTAGTAGCGATTGTTCTGGTTTGTGGCCAGATTACTATTATTGCGTAGCTATTTAAATAGCAGATAAAACTCTCCGATATGAGAGTTTTCAAAATGCCTAGCAGGTCGACTACATAATCACCCAGAATCCGGCTAGTCTACTAAAGCGGTGTTGTCTCGGTTAGTGAAAAGTCGAGTAAGTAGAAAACGATGAAGAATTCAGTGGAAATCAAAATAAATACATCTATGAGCTATAGCCACAAATATTTGATAATGAGCGTCTAAGGCGTCGTCTCTCAATCTGACAGGCAAAAGTAGCTACGTAAAGTGGGTAGTGAAAGAAGAAGGCGGAAAGGCTATAGTAGCTGCGGGGAGAATTAGGTACTAACCTAGTACCCAGCGGTCGCCTAACAGCCACCCCTCCAACCGCGGAACTACAGTCAAGTGTCTGCCTTGGGTCAAGTCAAGACTGTCATCGGGAGCCGCGCATTAATTGCATCCGATAAGTGGGAGCGTGTCACGTGTACTGAAGCACACTTTGGTCGTTTCATAAACAGGTAAAATTCAGATCGCACGAGAGCGACCGAGGGTGCTGATGGAGAGGCACTTTTAGTGGCATAGTTGTCTCGTTAGTGGGTGGTTCATATATCTGTGCAACCGCTGCGGCGTGACTTTTGTGTCCTGTGCCCATTCATCCTTGCCATTCGGCCTCGATAATGTACCGTATCGCGCCGGGAGGTTGTCTTGCACCAATGTAATGATATCTCGCATCAGCAGCCGTGAATAAATCGCGCCATTCATGCATCTCGCGTTGGTGCGCATTCAAGAGCTGTTGCATTGCAACGTCCATGTTTCTAGTTGGCAACATTTAGCGAGGTGCTGTCCATTTGGTAACAGGGGTGTTTAAGCTTACATGGCTCTGCGCGCATCCACTGTATCCAGACTCTCCAGACCTGGGAGGATACGCTCGTGAATTATTATCTTGGCACCCTTTTGCAACGCCGGCACCAATTTTTGCAGAATCTTGATGCAATACTTATCAGCCCAGTTATGAAAGATGGACTTGAAGTAGTACACGTCTGCCTTGACAGGCTGGGGTGTAAAAAAGTCACTAAAATGACCAGTGGTTAGTAGCTTCAGTGTCCGTCTAGGGAGACACAACTCACTGTGCCATGAATTCAACCCTATCGGACAGGTCAGCGGGCAGATGTGAAGCGCCTTCGGCAACCGTGTCTGAGAGGTCCTGAACAAAGCATTTCATTTTGGGAAATCGCTCGGCGATTGATATGGCAACACTTCCGTGAGAACCGCCGACATCAACCATGGTCCTGAGATCCGCCCAAGGGTAATTGTCAAGTAGGCCGTCTGATGTTGGGTCGGGCTTGGACAAATACAGACCAAATCGAGCCGCCCGCTCGGGATTGTCGGCAAAAATGTCAAACATTCCTTTGTCGCTATTATTGGCGAGCGAAAATCCCTTGAAAGAAGATGAGTCAACAATGTCAAGCATCTCGTACTACTGCAACTCACTGTTTCGTTGCTCTCTTCAGAATTGGGCCATTTCTCCATGGCATCAGCCATCTATGGCCCTAGTTAGCCAATCCTCGACAATCGCATACTGGTTCTTCACTATACCTTGACACCAGCCGGCCAAAACTCATCGAGCTCAACCCGCAGCGAATTCCTCATCACCTCATCACTTGCCAAGATGGCAGTCAGGGCCGAATGCGTTATGACGCCGGGTGACTTCTCTTGAAAGAAATAATGATTAATGATTCCATGTCTGACAATACGCCTAACATTTCTGACACTCAATCCCGAGAATTCAGACATGGCCTCGAACGATGTAGATTCTCCGAGCGGAAACGACTTGTCGAGATTGAAACGGAGAATCGCCTTGACGCTGACATGGTCGGTCCACTAACAAGCAATTAATCAATGGCCACGGACAAAGTTATAGAATCAGATATCCATACCTGAAATCTGAGTAGCTCTTTCGGGCCTGTCAGCAATGCCTTTAATTCTGAACACGATTCAATGACCCGGCTCCTAGCATCTTTAATGTCGGTCGCGTCGTCTGGTATAGGTATGGTTGCAAGTGCATTCTCATTAAAAGATGGTGTCGGTGCTTTGGACGCGACCAGAAAGTTATTGATTATGGCCGTGTCCCTAGCGATGATTGAGGATAGCACAATAATTCTGTTTGTCGTTGTCATTTTTAAACAAGTTTTCGAGAAAATCGAACCCTTCAAGATGTGAGAAATGAAGAGCTGCAGCAGGGTGAATGGGGCGTCAGACTACAAGTATACAGATGGCCAGCTAATGTCAGCGCCGCAATTGCTTACACACGAGCTCCGATAGTAGCTGCAGTCCCATGTCAGCTGGATAAGTTGCCGTGTGGGGTTGCTTGCGTTATGCTCGGCTAATACCGTAGGATCGTCGTGCCGTGACATGTTCCGTAGTTCGGTATCCAGTATTATACTGCAACAATGCCTGGACTTCCACCCCTGTCTGGCAAGTGTCCAAATGCAGGGAGGGTCTAATGGTCCCTTTTCCAAGCTCTGCGCCCCTTCCAAAGCCCATCACCAGCAACATACTAGGTACGTATACTCACATGTAGTATAATGCAGTAACGGGAATGTGCTCTCAGATATGCATACTATTCATGCAGCTCTAAAGTAGAATAATAAGTCGCAATCGAGTTACCATCATTTCGATACACTGTTGAAAGCTGGTATTCATGTCTCTACACTCTCTATTCTCGGCCAACATGACCCCTCTTCCGCAGGAGCTTTCAGAAATTAGAATAAAGTCCAATCCATGTGTGATCCTGAAAAGGATGGTGAGCTTCCCTTCGAGTCTACCTGATCACCATGATTCAAGACCTGAACGACGGAAGAGTGTCCAACTTGTTCCGCCCAGGCCAAAGGTGTCAAACCACATAGATCTCGGCGTCTCTTGTCGGCACCATGATCTAAAAGGAGCTTTACGACGGAATCGTGGCCGTTGTACGCCGCCAGCGTCAATGGCGTCCATCCGGTCGGCAGGTGACGGTCAACATCAACGCCGGCTTTGAGAAAAGCCCCAACCATGAAAGGTTTTCCACCCGTTAATGCGTAGTACCAAGGTGTTTTCCCATCTGCGTTTTGGTGGTCATGATCGGCGCCTTGATCCAATAGGACTTCCACGGTGGAATGGTGTTCTCTTTTTGTTGCAATTGTCAAAGGGGTATCCCACGATAAATCATGTCGAAAGTCCACCCGAGCACCTCGGGCGAGAAGTGACTCGACCAGAAAAGAGTGCGCTCCACTGGCTGCATCGTAAAGAGCACTTGTTCTCAGCTCATCTTTTGCATCAATACCCCTGGCCAACAATCGCTCGACATCTAGCAATAGCCAGGTCCATTCCAATTGTCTGAGATCTTGCAAAAGCTTTTCGCGTCCCCAGCAATTATAGGCTTCGAGGGCACGATCAATGCAGCCCAGTTTCAAAAGGGTGATTCCCAATGATTGTACCTGTACTGGCTTTTGCAACATGTGCGCAATAGGAGCCTTCAAAAGCCATTCAAGTGCCTCTGCTTCCTTGCCCTCCCTTAGAAGGCACTGTGTAAGCAGAGCCGCAGTGTCTGGCCAATACTCGGCATGATGCCGAGTCCCCTCAAGGCCATTCAAATGCTCCAGAATTAGTCGCAGACTGATCCTACATTCATCAATCTTCCCAGAACGCCATAAGATCAGCGACTTGGACCAGTGCCATTCCAAAATGGCAGGACTCCGGTGCCAGTTTCGTTCAGTGTGCAAGTCGAGTACAAACTGGTTCATTCGTCCGGCGTCCTTGTTGATATTGTGTCCACTCAACGTTGTTGTATGAATTCCTAACACCAGAACTTTCCATTTCGCCCAGGCGGATCCGCGGTAGAACATTCGCTTCAGCCACCCGGCATCATCGTTTACCATGTCATTGCTGCAAACGCTTTCTTCCAGCTGACGAGAATAGAACATGGCGTTTTCGCGATCATTGTGAAGTAGCAGGGCTTCCGTTACTCCGCATAGTGCTCTTTGGATGACGGCTTCAACTTGGGGAGACGAAGGGAGATCTTGAGCAATCTCGAGCGACTCCCGGAACCAGCTAAAGAGACTGCACTTGTCCACCTCATGTCGGAGCTGGGTATTGTGGTCCTCCATGATGGCAAGGTACAGGAGACACACGCTCTCGGTAAAGTTTCTGCGTTTCCTGACTCGGCGGAGGGCTGTCTCGAGCATTGGCCTAGCCCTCGGGCTGTTTTCGTTTTGGCCGTTCCAAGTTTGTAGGGCCCAGAGAATGATTACCCAGGTAGGTAAAATTGCTACTGGAACAGACCTCAATGACTCAAGCAGCCTGAATTGAAGAAGCGCAGAAATGTTTGGACGTAGCTGTGCCAGTATTGCGCCATGGTTCTGCGCTGTGAAATGTACAGTCAAGGCGGTTACCTGTGTGCTCGGCTCAGCGGCGAGACCCGATGCGTGGGTGATGGATGCGTCTTGCTGTGCATATTCAGTGATACTGCAGTCAAGGTATGCACTTAGCATGCCCACAATCGAAGCCCAAGTCTGATACCGAGGGTCATGCTCGCCAAGCTCCTTTTCCCTTTGACCGAGTTCGACCTTGATAGCTGCCATCAGAGTCGAGATGGGTATGCGAAAGTCACTCAAGGAGTGCAAAAGATCCAAATACTGGAGGAAAAGATCCCACGAATCCATCTCCAAGGTATGAACGACATACTCGACCAAGCCGCAGAATTGTTTGGATGCAATAAAGTCTTCCAGGGCCGAATTTGTGATGACTGACATTGCATTCGCCAAGAGGACTGGCAGGAATCTCGACGCATAATGAAAAAACGGATAGCTTTCGGGTAAACTGTGCATGCTTTTGTCGTGGATAGGGTAGCCCATCTCCATTGAGCTGATATAGTTGAAGCAAGACTCAATCATTGATTTTTGGCTGTCCATACGATCAATTTGAAAGTACAAGACATTGCTGTCTGCCCGACTCCATTGATCGACAGGGCGGGTGAGGAACTCTTCAATCGACGCATGAGCAAAGTGAAAATGACCGTTGGACTCGTTGATGAAATCGCCACACGAATCAACAAGTCCTTCTCTTGTCAAAAGTTCATAGTCGTGAGCACTAGGAATTGCCATTTCCGCCGCACATGCGTAGCTCAGCTCGGCAAGCGTCAACGGTTCTGGCGCTGCGAGGATCAGAGAGAAAATACGCTTGACTGTTTTCATGGTAACTGATGGTCGCGTTGATGACCCAGCAGAGCGTTTCATCAAACTGTCAAACATTCGATTGTACTCCTCGTCAAGGGTCGGTGGCGTATTGCTGAGGATGACTCTCATGGAAGAGGTGCTCAAGGATCGATTCAATTCCTTGAAGACCAAATTTACCCACAAAAACATCATTCCTGACTTTGCGTGTAGAGATTCTCGGACCAGATCTTTGGAAAGCTTGACGTGTGACTTGGACGAGCTGTCCAGATGCCATTCAATAAGAGCGTTTATGTCATCTCGAAGAAAATCTTGACTAATCTTTAGACTCGATGGCGAAGAGGTGATTGCTCTGCTAAGAGATGTTTCGCGACCACATAACAGGATGTGGATGTTGGTATGAGTCTGTAGCAGGTCGTGAATCGTCAAGAGACTCTGGTCTTCAGGGTCATTCCAGTCTTTTTCGGCCTCGTCTATGCCATCAATGATCATGTATACTTTTGATTCGATCATCCTAACCGTAAAGTCCATGGCAGCTCTCAACGGTCTTTCGTCAGAGGACGAGGCTCCCATCAAAATGGAGGCGACTTGCGAAACATTGTCGGCCGAGAGGTATTTGAGCAGCTGCCATAAAATTGTTTTGAGAAGTCCGTTGAATTTGCGCTGGCTTTCACTACCAGCCCAATAGGAGAAAAAGGTTGAAATTTTGCCCTTGTCCCGAAGTGTATCCGCAATCGAGGCGGATAGAACGGATTTACCGCAACCCTTTGGCCCGTACAAGCAGAATAACCTCTGAAATTGATCAGATGGGTCATGCTGGAAACTGTCGACCCAAGTGTTGAGGTGCTTGTCGGACCATATCCAGTCGCATGTTGTGTTGAGCTTTGGAGGAATAAAGTCTCTGCTAGACGGAGAGAGAGTTTTTTCGAGTTGAAGTAGAAGGTCGGTCTTTGACGTCGACTGACTCAACCCTAGCATTTCATGAGTACGGTGCGACATATACAGAGTGCAGGCTAAATGAGTAATACCTTGATGGACCTGGCCAACTATTGCCAGCGTGAGCTCAGCCCTAGTGTCCCTGATGCGCTCAATGTGCTTCTTGGTGGTCTTGTCGAATCCTGTCAATAAAAGCTTCACTTGCCTCATGAATCGCATGCCACCTTTCTGCGCTGATGTGTTACAATGGGTGAGTAGTTTATTGAGATTTGTCAAGTCCACGCGGATCTTGTCAAGGTTTGCCTGAAAGTTTGCGACCTGAGATGGGCTGAGCGATGGATAAGTTCCCCGAACCTGGACATCTTTGAGAGTGTTTTCCAATCCTTCCAATTGTTGTAACAGTGTGTTCATTTCACCAGCTAGAGATTTCCAATTCTTGAGCTGACTTGCAATTTCTGCCGTCTTTTGAATAATCTCGATCAAGCCTGGGAGGCCGGCAATCAGGCCGATGACCTCCATATTGCGACAGATAATGGTAAAAAAAAAAAAAAAAAAAGCTGGGAGGTTGCTTGCCGCTTTCAAACTCAGGACGAAAGTCTTGGCGCCATGGTTGAGGGTCTCATGATGTGCCAGTAAAAGGGTGGAACCAGGCAGAGAGACGATGGATCCATGGTGTCATGCGAGTGCGCGAAAGAGCCGATGGGCACTCGACATTTAAACCACAGCCATGTTCTTTCGCGCATGATGAAGTCTGACCAAAGAAGGCATAGCTCAATTGTATGGCTTGTCAATTTTCTGGGGGTGGGCAGAAATCATTGGGTAGATTCTTTTCAGCTGCTGCAGGTGCGCTGGTAGGCAAAGTCGCAAGGCAGACTGACTGACTTGCTCCTGCTCTGCCCGCTTCAACGCCGTGCTTCGGTATCAGGGCGGCTTGCAGTCGGCGAGAAAAAGCATGAGACTACATATCTCAATCAGATGCAAGGCCAATAATTGTTGATTTTATACAAGAATGAAATGATTCTAGCAAATGCAATATAACTTTGAAAAGATTGATGATGCGTCTGGGGAGCTTCTTCAGATAGGGCACTTGCGTACCGTCAACTAAGTAATTATTTGCCCAGCTGCCTACTACCTAGTACCCTGACATGGCGCGCTAGCTAGGTAGACTTACTGCTCGCCAAAAAGTCCTATATTGAATAAATTGCTAGTTTCGGCAGCAAATATTCAAACCACAAACGATATCCTTTCGCATTCAAATGAACGTGATCTTCTAAATCGACCTCTATCCGCACACTGTCTGGCGCTCGTATAAAGAAGAGTCGAGGTTCCGTCTTGGCGTCATCATTTATCGAGGCCACCAAATCTTCCAGCTTAGTGTTTGCCTCATCCACCAATTGATCCGCTACATCTGCACGGTAAAACAGCCCGCTGAGCAGTATCCTTGTTTCGGATGCCGAAATGGCCAATATTGTCTCTAGCACAAGTCGCAAAACCTCGACGCTGGCGGCAGGGAGGCCGCGCTTTGGGTGAAGATTGTTGGTCCCCGCATGTATGAACCAAAGCTTAATGTCGGGCGGCCTCAGCGCATCCACCAGCCCCGGCAACTGCCGCTCCTCATCGCCGTAAAGACGGTACAAGATGTTTTCGTACTTGTCACCACCCACGCCGGCATAGAAAACTCCTTCAAGCCTTTGGTATGGACATTCCTTTGTGCGTTCTGATTCGAGATGGGCATCGTCAAGCAGAGAAGCGGACGGCCAGGGTTCAAGGCTTGTGCATTGACCGGTAGTCTGCATGCGCTCAATCATGGAGTCGCCGAGGAGCACGATCCGGGGGCTCTGGGAGAGGGATTCAAGAAGCGGTATATGCTCATTTTTGGAGGTAATAAAAGAGCGCTCCTTGAACTTTGAATAACGCTGTATCGACATGCGTTTGGAGCTGGGAGATGAATGTGCTTGGGCATCAGCGGATAGCGCCGCGTTTGGTGAAGCCATCTTCAGTCAGGCGCTGCTAGGGTACTGAATGGACGTAGCACTTTCAGAGAACTTTTTGTACGTCCCTTTCTACCTCGTATATACTCGAGCACATGGTTCTCGCAAAATCGCCTTCCTTTTTGCGCATTGCTAATACTCCGCTAGAGAAGCCCGCTGTGGCACTGCCGAGCGTGCAGTGAGTGGGTCTTTGAGAATGGCGTTGACTCACCGGCATAGAGTACAAGGGTTCAAGCAGGCTGAGCAAGCAGTGGTCCACAGCAGGTAATTCGTAACCAAGTAAATGGCAGTGAATGCACAATAGTCGTGATAGTCAAAGGATTGAGAGACTTAGTTATTCACCCATATATCCTCAAGGCCCGTCCAATCTGTCTACTAATTCTTGCAAAGGGCAGACGATATCGCTATAAATAGCGCTTTGGAGTTCCACCTTGCCGAGGTCGTGCCCGTAACCAAACTCGCACTGCATGCATTTCCGAACTATGCGACCATATTTTTTACCAAGCCCGATATTCTCTTGTGCAACTCTCAATGCTGTTGCAATATCGTCGCGGTCGCCATTCAATCGCATTTGCGACATTGGAGCCCAGTGGCCTATCTCGAGCAGTGCTATCCCCAGGCTGAACAAGGTCATGTTGCATATATCGTAATTATCTCTTCCGTAGCCGTCGGTTCTGTCAGAGGGAATGGATTTTCCCTTGTCCCTGTGGACCCGTCTTTCGAGCGTAGTCGTCGTCGAGTCGGTATCATTGTGGCTCAACAGGCGAGATCGTAAAAACAGGTCGAGGTCCAGGTTCTGGTGATTTGGCCCTGTCGTTTCAAATAAAAGATCAGATGTCGTCCAAAGTTCCCTGAGCCATGGTGTTGAGTGACTCTGTAGTACCGCGTAGACCAGCTGAATAGCCAACCTGAGTTGGCCTGGCATAGTCACTCGAGTCGCTGGGGCGTTCTTGAACAGGTCCTGCAAGCTTTTCCTTCGATGGTATGAATCTGGAGAATAGCCATCCGTGTGCCTGGTTATATAGAATGAACGCTCGCAAGGTGATTCTTGGTAAAGATACGCGAGATAGTCCGTGTGTTGTCGTGTCGAGTACCGCATCGTAGACTCTAGATACGCGCATGCATTGTCTACTGCCGAGAGGCTAATTAGATTTCTTTGCTCTGGCGGCACTGGGCACGATTCTGTACTGTGTCGCTCAGGTTCGGGCTCCGCGAACTGTACCCGTCTTGTACTTTTCGGGACATGGGCCGTCCCAGTTTTGGACACCCATTCCGGATGTGGGAGGCACGATTGCAGGATCAATCTAAGAAAAGTGTGATCCTCGATACTGTTAATTCGATTAGTAAATGCGAAAACTGTGGTGAAATTGATAACAATGAGCATACTCGGTGCCGTGGCAATATACAATTGCAACCTCAAGTCGTGAGCTCTTCTGACCTGGACTTCTAGTGCTGGTTTCTAGGGCTGTATAGTGATCGGTATGCTTGTCATCCTGGCAGGAGAATGCTGAACTTAATGCGAAATATGCATCTTTGGACAATTCGCGGACTGGCGATATCCAACTCGGCAGCGACGGCCTGTTTGGAAGAGGTGTCGCGTGCTTGAAAGGTTTTGCTGTGTGTAGATCATCCAACTGACGCCGTATGGCTTGAAGGTTGCAATTGTGGCGTCTGATTTGATCCAACTGCTTTTCATATGAAGAAAGGTTGAATCCAACTTCAAGACGTGTCTTTAGACGCTTAAAAGTTGCTCTCAAGGACTCGTGCTAGTTAAGCATTGAAAGATATATTATCAATTACTGGCGGTGGAACGATGGAGAAGATTTGGCGTTCGCTTTGACTTACCACTTGCTTTTCCTCGCGGACAATGGCAAACGTGCTCAATTCCGATTGAAGCAGTTGCTGTGAAAGACGTATTGCTTTTATGATCTCAATTGACTGTTCATAACTCTGAGACATTCGCGATTGAATGCGGATCTCAAGGGCGCCATCATGATAAGTCGGATTATCAAAGTCCCTGGTCATCTCTTGTAGTGATTGCGTGCTTGCCATTGATGGTCGCAGGAGGAGTTCGCACTCGTTGATGAAAATTTGTTCCTGTGTTCGAAGATTCACATCGAGGTCTTTCAGTTGTTTGGCGCAGGCTTTTGCCACCTTCATAGCCTTACATAAAGTGCCAAATCCTTTTACAACTTCAACAACTATAGGCACTAGGCCAATTGCCGCCGAGGCTATTCCTAATATTTCCGCCATGGAGAATGTAATGTAATGAAACACGTCAAGTGTGTGGTGATGATCAGGACGAGCCTGACCACGTCTGAGCGCCGTGGGGTCCAATTTGCTCGCTTAATCACAGCTGACGTGCAGGGCGGGGTAAATGAAGCAAGACGTACATCTCGCACTCCACTGGGAATCAGAGCCTACGGGTCGGAAGGAAATATTCTTACATAGTGCTCCGATACATATCGTGGGTTCAATCACGGTCTCATGCCAATCCAGCACATTGGCAAGAGACAGTGCCTCTGATTCGAAATGGTAGGACATGACATGGAAATCCCAGGTGATGTCGGTATCGTGGCTCGCCTGTGTCAAGCCTGCATCGACATCATCAAGACCATGACCGTAAATGGAGCAGAGGACCAATCATTCCAGGCACATATCGTGCCACTCATGAGAATCCAGCACAGTCTAGTGCTCTGGGACATTGATCACTCTGTAGCCAACGGTAATCTGGACAGTATCCTTCAGACGTCACGTGGGCTTCAGAAAGCAACATTGGTTCCATTGAGATCCATCATACGTATTTTGGCATTTGGTTAGTCCCACCCATTCCGTTTGGTGTTGCGCTGTCATTGAGGTTTAGATATGCTGCGCTACGTACCACTCAGGACCCGCGAGCAGATCCTTGGACAACGATACGAATACCAACTACTGTTGGATGAATCTGAGTTCTCCCTGTGTCGCGACGATGATTCTGATGAAGAGCATACCGCATCTGAGCCCGACGAGGATGCTTCGGAGACAACTGATAGCGAAGAATCTGGCATTCATGTCATTCTACATAGACTGTCAAACTTGGTCCGGTGTCTCTTTGATCTGGGCGGTGCCCTAGAAAGCCCTGCTCCAGATCCGGAGTATTTGTACCCATCAGGCACAACCGAACCGTCGTTAAACATATCTCCTTATCAAGCATATGCACAAAAAATACGAGACAGATTTCCTTCGGCCCCAAAGACTGTTATTGAGTACCTTGGTCAAGCAAATCTAAAGAGATATCAGCGGATCATGCAGCGAATAAGAGAAGAAGAAGAAGAAGAAGAAGCTCAGGTTAGAGACACCCACGCTTCACCCACTGATATCCATTCCACAGCTGGCGCCACGGAAATAGCCCGCAACTCGTCAGCATGGGCATGGCTCATGGACGCCGAATTTAGAGACTCCGCCCTAGGGAGTTCAATTCCAACGGGTACCAGTCGCTCTCGGTCAAGTCTCAGTGAAGCCTCTTCCACAATATCGGCCATGGCCGGAGAAGCTTGGAAGTCATTCCCTCGGTTGACTGATGATGCGAAGCACGGAAAACCATTCCAGTGTGATGCATGCGGTCGCATACTTGTCATAAGTAAAACGAGACAGTGGAAGTAAGTTGTCCAAAGATAAACCCATAGAAAGAAATTCTTGTCAGTTGAAGGCTAAAGTCTGGAAGCAAACACTTAATAAGTGACCTACTTCCGTACAATTGCATCGTCCCAGACTGTTCCTTTGGTGAACAGCCATTCTCAAACAAGCATCTGTGGACTCAGCATATGTTGTTAGATCACGAAACATCTGAAGTTCTCATGCAAGAAACGTGCTTGTTGTGTGAATCGGTTGTGACCGGCGGCACTGAAGTGCTCTTACACCATATTAGCAGACATCTTGAAGAAATTTCGGCCGCAGCACTGCCACGTAATGCATCTGAGCACATAGGCGATGACGAAGCTTCCGAGGTGTCAGCATCAAGTCACGCTTCGAGTGCCGTCCCAGCATCCCAGTACTCTGACCATGAAGATAACGGGCCAGTCAATGAGGAGGAATCAACTGGAGACACCGGCGTCAATGAAGAGGCCCCGATTACTTACGGGTATCTTTTCAATGAAGACCGAAGTCCGACCGAGATGTTGGAGGCTCTCCTTGGATCCATCTTCAATTATGCAGTACGTCAGCCTGGAACAGGTTTGTTTGTACAGGTCATATGGTGCATGGCTCACTATTCCACAGGTCGCCTTCATCGAGGACGCTGCGGATGTTCCCGGTGGATTGTTATACATGACACCGCACCGAACAGCTGCATTATACAGGCTCGCTGGATTGAACTATGATTGTGAGTAGGCTTCACTGTAGCATCCCACGACTCAATGACCAACCAATGCTTTATTAGCTTTATTCGCGGATGCTCCCCACAAGGCAATTAGTTATATCTGGGAAGTTTTAGGAGTACAGCATGTCCTACTTCCTGGCGAGAACGATTTCCAACCACCTTCTATCCCAGGTCTTACGCGGAACGGTTTCATTAGATGGCAGTCAATACAAATACTGCTGGGACCGGAGGAGCATGTCCCATTTATGCAGCATGCAGCTCTTCACTGGGGTCTTCGGCATCCTCGTACTGGGCAGCTACTCCCAAGGGATCTTCCGGCTAATTCGTTCCCAAAAGTTTGTGACCCAGAGATTGACCGATGGCATAAGGAATGTGCGGACCACCTCCGTAATAACTATCGTGAGCCTTCAAAAACCAGGATGACGCCGCTGACAGGTGGGGCCATGGGTCCAGATGGCTGGGCAGAGAAGGCAAATAAGCCCGAAAAGAACCCGTACCCGTGGGTTGATGGTCCTAGCGTTAATTCAACCCCCTAAGCCAGCTTAATAGGCTAAAAGTACTATAATTTTAATAGGATTATAACCAAACTCGATTTTAGTGCATTTTGGCCGATTTATATGGTAGAAGTGAACGTTTTTAAAGTAAATTCTAATAATTATAATAATATTTAAACGATAATTAATTATATACGTCGAATTAGGCTTTTTAAAATAATAAATATTTAATAAGTGCATTTAATTTAAATTTAAAATGCTTTATTTATAAAAATCGATAATTTTAATAAAATTATATAAAATTCTTATATAAATTAAATATCGGGATTTAAATTAAACCCGGGTTAAAATATAACTTTTTCGCAAAGCTATTATATTATATATAACGTAAATTTATTAGGGCATGCTGCTACCACTATACGATAATGGCCAAAAAGCATTGAGCTGGGGCGTGGATATGGGAGAAGAACCTCAACCAAACAACCAACACCTCCAGGTAATTGTGTGATCAGGCCGGTAACCTGATCACTTCAGGGTTGCATCTTGTGCGGTCGCATTTGTGTAAGGAATTGTGTGTATTGAGTACCAGTTGTGATGTGTTATTCAACGAATTGGAAAAGCATGAAAAGTAAAGAAAAAACGCAACGAAACTATCACCGATCACAGTTTTGATCTGGCACCTCCACGAGCTAAGGGGTCCACTGATCAGGACCCCCACCACAGCATGCTCGCAATTGTTGGGAAACGATTACTGTTGATCAAGGTGGTGCTTTCCTATTGGAGTTTAAACTGGTCTAATATAGGTATTAATTATATAATATATTAATCTATATTCTACGCCTTTTAGTTTTAATAAGGTATACGCTTATTTAGGTGGCCCCGGCTAATCCCCGAAAAGTCCCGTATATTTATTTAAATATTATAAAGTTAATCCGTATACTTAAGCATACCCTAATATATAGGAATTATAATTTATTATTTAATATATCCCCTTAGATTTACGATTTATCGTAAATTTGGCTATATTTAAATTAAAGTTATTAATTAGCAAAATATAGCTTTTTTTAAGGCTATTCGTTTTAATTACGATAAATAACGTTAAATTTTATTTATTATAAAAAATTCTATTATTTACTTATTAGTAAGCTTTTTATTAATTTATTTGCTATTATTTTATTTAAGGGTTTATAAATAACTCTAATTTTTTTTTTTAGGCTTTTTATTATAATTAATAGTTATAAATATTTATATAATAAAGCTTTATTTTTAATAACGCGATTTTGGCGTTAATTAAATTAATAGTTTATTTATTATTATATTTAATAATAATAATGCTATTATCCAGCTATATTAATAATTTTTTTAATAATCGGCTAATAAATAATGTTTTTTTAGTAATTTGCGTTAGGGTAAATAATTTAGCTTTTATAATAAAAATAATAATTATATTTTATTTATTTAATTGCTAATTAATTAATTTTCCGAATAGCTTTATAGCGAATATTTAGGTATTTTTGCGATTAATGCTATTATTAGCAAATAATGCGTTATTAATAATTATTAAATTAAAAGATTTTCCGATTTTAAGCGAAAGTTTTTTAATATTAATTAGGTAAATTAAAGCTTAATTAGCAGCTTTTTAATATATTTAGCTTAAATTATTAAGGAATCGAGTTAGTTTAGCTATTACGAATATAATATTTAGTTTCGTAAATATAGCCGCAAATAATAATAATCCGATTTTTTTTTAATATTTTTATATTTTATAAGGAAACGTTATAGTTAATTAAGGTATAAGTTTTTCGCAATTTATTAGTATTATATAAATTTTTTTTTATTTATAAATTTAGCGATTTTTTTAAGGTAAGCTTTTTAAAAAAGTTAGATTATTTTGGATATACGATTTTTAATTATTTTTATTTTAAAAAACTATTATATTAGCTCGCTATTATTAATTTTATATTTTTTTATAAAATACTATATTAAATAATTAATAGCCTTTTTATTTTTATTTTTATATGCGATAATTATATTATTAACGTAAAAAAAGATTAGTATTTTTTTTTTAATAAATGCGTAAGGTTTATATAATATTTAGGTATAACCGATTTTAGCTAAAGTTTTTATAAATTTTTTTTATTATAATAACGGTAATATCCGTAATTTATAAAATGCTTTATTTAATAATAATATAGCGTTTTTTTTTCGATATTTATCCGGTATTTTTATAAATATATTTTAATTAATAAAAGCGTATATAAACGCGTTTATTATATTATATTATATTAATTTAAAGTCGAATTTCGCTATAATCGCGATTAGGGTACGAAATAATTTTTTAGCTAATATAGCCGCGTAGGTTTTTTAATTTTAGGATTTTATTTATTAATTATTATAAACGACGAATTTTGCTTTATACTTTTAGAATCTTCCGTATTTATCGAATTTATATATATATATTTATATATAATTAAGGATTTATTTGCCTTTTATTCGTAAATTTTTTTTATTAATTTCGGTTTAAAATCGTATATTTTTATAATTTTATAAATAATTAGCTTTTATTTAAAAAAATAATTTGCTAAACGGATAATAATATAATTTATAATATTATTTAGGGGGAGCTAGGATTTCCGCTTTATAAATTTTTATTTTTTAATAAAAAAAGCGTTTTAGCTTCGCTTTATTATTTTAATTATTACCTTATCCTACTTTAGGAATAGCTTTATAACTAGCTAAAAAAGCTATTTATTATAAGATTATTTTAGGTTTTTTTTTTAATAGCGCCGTATTTTTAATCGTAATCGCTTTTATATTATATATTAATAAAATTAATAAAAGTATTTATAATAAAATTTAAAAGGCAAATTTCGCTATAATAAAAAGGTATTATTTATCCTTTTTATTTAGCGTTATTTTTTTATTTTTTTAATTATTATTTTTTTTTTAATTATTTTAATTATCGCTTAATAAAATATTTTTTATAACGGTATTTTTATTTTTTAGTTTTTATAAAATTTTATTTTTAAATATTACGTAATTAATTATAAAATCGGCGATAAGCTAGGTATTAATATTTAGGAGCTCGTTTTTAAATATATTTTATTTTTTATTATATAATTTTTTTTCGTTTATAATTATATTTTTTATATTAATTAATTTATTTTAATTAAGAATTTAGATTTTATAAATATTAAATAATTTATATCCGATTAGGTATTTTATTTATATTTTAGGTGCTAATCGCTATAAACGGCTAAATTTTTATTATGCCGTTAGCGTTATTGCGTACGCTTTATATCCGAATATTTTAAAATAGGTTTAATTAGGCTTATAGCTTAAATTTAAAATTTTTTTTGCTTTCGCAATTATTTTATAAAATTTTATATATAATATACGCTATCGGGAATTATAATTCGGCGTATAATTATATAAATATACCGCGGTTTTACCGATTTCGGGCTAAAATTAGTAAAAAAGTTTTGCGTTAATACGCATTATTTATTTTTTTTTTAATTATACCCTTTAAGCGTTTAGCAGTTTTATTTTAGGTTTATATATATGGTATTAAAGGCTTAAATTTAATATATTTATTTTCGAAATATTTTTTTATTATTTATTTAATTTTTATAATTTCGTTATCGCATTTAATAATTTTAATTTTAATATTATATTAAATTTTTATTATACCTAAAAACGATCGGAAAGCGTTAATTAATATAACCGCAATCCTTTCCGTAAAATAATAATTTTATATATATCTCGTTTACCGATAAATAATTAATATTTAGGATATATAGTTTTTAATCTTTTTAATATAATTATAAAAATTTATAGCTAATTATTCGCTATAATTTTTATTAATTAGCCGTAGCGTTTACCGTAATTAGCGCGTAATTTTTGCAAATATATAAGTTTTATATTTTATTATAATTAATTTTTTAATTTTTACCTTTTAAAATAAATAAATAAAGTGTTTAAAAGCTACCGGGCCTAAATATTTTATTTTATAATATTATTATATAGCTTCCCTAATTAATAATAGCCTTTTTATTTATATTATATATTTTTTCCGATAAATAGCAAATAACGCTAAAGGTAATTTGTAAAATTTATATTTAAAGACGTATTATTTATATCGGTTTTAAAGTGTGCTAATTAAAAATCTATTTTTTTTACGTAATATTATAAGGTCGTTTTTATTATCCTAATAATATTTTTATTTTCGTAATTAACGGAATAATACTAATATAATTAGCAACCTAGGATAATAAGCTATATTATTTAATAATAATACTTTAAATCCGAGCTATATAATTATTATACTATATTCGTAAATAAATAATTTCCGGTCGCCTAACTAAATAAAATCATAATTAAAAACTTATTTATAATTAATAAGCTTTGCTTTTATATTTATAATTAAAATCGTTATCGTTAAATTTAAAATAATTAAATAGCGTAAAAAATAATTTTTTATAAATATTATAAAATTATTTTATACGTTTATTATTAGTCGTCTATCTTATTAATTTATATTAATTAGGAGCGATTTTTTTTTAGTTATTTATAATATATTAATTCGGCTAATTTTAATCTTTTTTATGCTGCGAACCTATTCCTATAGGTTAAGGTCTTTTTTAAAAGTTTTATTTATTTATATTTATATTTTATTTTTAGGGACGAAACCTAAATAGGCTTTTTTTAAAAATACGTAAAAATATAAATTAAAAGCGTAAAAAAAATAATAAATAAGATATTTAATATTTTTTTATTTTTTATTATAAATAATTCGTTTACCTTTTTTTTTACGTAAATTAACCGCATTTAATCGGGAAAATATTTAATTTTTAACAAAATAAGCGTTTTTATTTTATCCGTTTTAGGGCTATTTTTTAGCTTTATTAACATAAATTACAAAAGCGCCTTTTCTAATTTTTAGCTTAATCGGCTATTAAATACTTAAATTTTTATAAAAATTATTATTTATTACCCGATATTTTAAATTTTTATTTAAAATACTTTATTTTTTATAAATTTAA